CCCTTTGTAAATAGACATATTTTTTTCATATCTATTATGGACCAATAACTCTAGAGGACTGCGAATCGCGAAACAAGAATAAAATGTTCTATTTCTGCGAATAATCGATCCTGATTATTCGCAGAAATAGAACAAGATGACATTTTGTTAATTTATATGTACTTTCTTTGTTTTGTGTTAATTGTGTAAATTTTTTTTATTGCGTTAAAAAACCAGTAATACATTTCATATGCGGACGGACAAACGTGTGAACACTATTGGCCGAGCGCATTGACTTACAATTATATGGACGTCGGGTCCGCGCTAAAAAGTGTCCGAACTTATAGGGCGTTAAAATCGTATACAGAGCGTCATTCGCGCTTTAGTCTTCGTTTGTTCGACTGACAGCGAAGCAAGCAAAATTAGACAGTACTGCGATGACATTACAATTTAAATTCAACGTTTTAGCTCTTTCATATTCCTTTACATGTCACTACGTTTAAATAGGTTGACTTGAGACATTTTTTTCGTGGTTTTTGTATTAGACCCGTCGTCCATTTATTTGTAAGTCAATGGCCGAGCGATGATTTGTGATAAGCGCCAAATGAGCTCTATGCACATTGGCCCTCGCTTTCACTCGGTCAGCTAGGCGAGTGACACCGAACGATGGCAAGGCAAGGCAAATGGACTGTCTATACGTTGGTATTGGCCTTCACCCGGCAACGTTGGATAAACATGTCATTGTATTGCTGGCTTTAAAAAATAGTAATTTTTAGTATTACAGTAGTTAGCGGGAAAAAATCGGAAACGAGTGGATAATTTTGTTTTCAGGAACTGTGAATGATGCTTGTTGGATCTAAGTTATATAAAATTATTTCCCAATAAACCTAATGATGGAATTGCATTACCGTGTAATCTAGTTACATTCAAAGTTCTGTTAAAATTTGACTCTTCAAAATGAAACGAATAAATGAAGATGATCTTTGATCCAATGTTTATATTCGGCAGTCCTATGATTTCCAACCACTATTTTTTAATTTGTAGGTAAACTTGAAATAGTAAAAATAATAATAATAAAAACCTCGTAGTGGATTGTTTTAATAACAGAATATCGATAATGTGTACGCTTACAAGAACAACACTATCACAACACAATCATTAACAACAATCATCAAAATATATATATAGACAAGTAGGCAATCTGAAGTAGCCAAAGCAAAATTTGGCAAGATTCTTGAATAAACTACTTAAATAAGTCTAATTACATGAGATATTTGTGCTATTGTGTGATTTATAGACAGAAAAATATCCATGCTTGTGCAATGTTACATTCGGTTGATTTTCGCTTTTGCTAATGCCACGTCCCTTAATGCTGCAGCGACGTATTTTTATTAATACCTAATTGTTCTCACTGTCAATATTTTTGTCCATTTTATTACTATCCATGCCAATAATTCAATAAAACACTTGGAAAACATTTGTTTTGACATTTGATGTACTTCCCTTTGACAACCGTATCATATGTACTGCGAAATGAACACAGTTGGCATTTAAGATGACGTTACGCATTTTCGATTCCCGTGTTTGGCACAGACCAATCTCTTTTGGCTTACGACGGCACGCAGTAGTTAAAGAAAGACAGTAACATGTTTATGTTTTTAATGTCGAAATGCATCTAATACATATAACGTTTGATTTACATAGGTCAACGTAACATGTCCTTTGGTTTCCATAGTCTAAGCATAACAGCTATATTTGTCAATATAAAACAAATTTTACATTGAAAAGTTGCAATTTATCAAAGCTACTCTAATTTCTAGTGATAATAAACGAATCAACTAGATGACACTTATTGCCCAGATGTTTATGGATAGCTATTCTTTTATTTTGTTTAGGATTAGCGCCATCTACACATATCACGAAGCATTAATTTATAAATTAGTTTGTAACACAGAATGCCATCTATTGACACTCAGAAAATAATTTTGGCTCATGATCAATACTTGAATAATATAACAAGGAAAAAAACTAATTTCTTACATTTCATACTAACGAGGAATTAACGAATATCCACCGCCATTTACATAAGGTAAACTACTTCTAGACTATTGATCAGCGCCATCTAGAAATAAGTTATGATCTGTAATATGGAGATCAGCATGATATCTATCATTTACAATATTTATTTCAAACATCATAGAAACGATCTGAAAGAACTAGCTCAAATGTAAATAATATCTGACGATCCATTCAAAGTCAAAGTCAAAGTCAAAGATTATTTATTCCATAGGTAAAATAAATTTACACTTGAAATCGTCACATTTAAGCTACTGCTCGTTCACTACGCTGACCTCCCTGAGAAGAACGAGCAAGAAACTCTAGGGATTGCTCTTTTCAAATAAACTTAAATGCTATGGAATACACTTTGAATCAAATTTGTGTGGATTCTGGAGCCATGTCGTCTTTCCATACATCTTTATCTAACACGTAGTCTTCAATTTTGTAATATGATTTTTCGATCAAAATATTTTTAATGTAGTTTCTAAACTTAGGAAATGATAAACTTAATATATGCTCCGGAATCTTATTGTAAAAACGTATACAGTTCCCCATAAAAGAGTTGTTTACCTTGGTTAAACGAAATCGTGGTACCATGAGTTTGGACTTAGCTCTAAGGTTAATATTATGGATATCTTCTTTCTTATTGAAATTATGTATATTTTTACGGGCATATAAAATATTTGAGTAAATGTACTGTGATGCCACAGTCATGATACCAGTCTCCTTAAACTTTTCTCTGAGAGATACCCGGGAGCCTAGACGGTACACAGAACGAATCGCTCGTTTTTGCAATACAAATATGGTTTGAATATCTGCCGCTTTACCCCACATGAGAATCCCGTAGGACATTATACTATGGAAGTAACTAAAGTAAACTAGTCTAGCAGTACTAACATCGGTAAGCTCACGTATTCTGCGGACTGCGTATGCAGCGGAGCTTAATCTGCTGGCCAGGGACGATATATGTGGAAACCACTGAAGTTTACTATCTAAGGTCACTCCCAAGAAGACTGCTTTATTAACAAGGTCTAACTTTTCTCCGTTTATTTCTATGGTTGGACTAGTCGATTTTACGTTAGATTTACATTAACAAGACCATTGGATATGCTTTTCCATGTTCAATGTCAAGTTGATTTTCAAATTACAACTCACTTGAGCACATTGGCTGGCATCATTTGCGACTCCGGCGCGGACTCTATGGTGGACTGCCACGTGTTGGTCGAATTGGGGATTACGTAGCCGAACTCAAAGAACCACTCTTCTAAGCACCGACCCTTGAATAAAACTTTCTGAAAGGGGAGAAAGTAACAAATCACAAAGATATGTAGATAATAAATTTTCAAAAACGTTTCCAGTTTGTCAGTATTGCTTTCTGTTTAATGGTACACATTTCTAGGTTCTTGGTCATGAATTTGGATTTCGGTTGAAATATGCTATTATTTGAATTTTTTAATGATCATAAGTAACGAGACGAACAAATCGTGCACCTGATGGTAAACGACACGCCTGTCCATAACAGTTGCAGTGCCACTCTGAGCTTTAAACCACAAAGATCTGAGGGGCACTGCTACTGTGCCCGTCACAATGAGACAAGTTGATAAGTCTCATGTGGCTGTAATTTCACCAGCACCCCCTTCCCTACCCTTCGAAACCGGAACGCAGTAATGCACACATTACTACTTGGCGGCTGAAATAGGTAAGGTGGCAGTACTACCCTAAACGAACTCGAAATATAATGTTCCCTTTTTGTATTTAAATAAAGAGAAACCAGAATATTTATAGGTTTCCTTAATGGTAACAACTTTTCTTTCTCCTAACCACAAAAGCAAAGGCAGGGTGATAAAGTTTTTTAACATTTTTATTTTATAACCAATTAGAAAGTAGCCCTGGTTTGATTAATGGTTTGAGCAGCCCTGGTAGCCTAATGGTTTGACCTACTGCCTCTCAAGCAGAAGGTCGTAGGTTCGAATCCGAGCTCGCACCTCTGAGTTTCTCGGAATTTATGTGCGAAATTCAATTTGAAATTTATCATGAGCTTTTCGGTGAAGGAAAACATCGTGATGAAACCTGCATGTTGAAAAAAGGGTCACAGCCCTCGGAAAACGTGTGAAGTCCCCAACCCGCATTGGGCCAGCGTGGCGGACTATGGCCTAAACCCTCGTCTGAAATGAGACCCGTGCCCAGCAGTGGGACATATAAATGGGTTGATGATGAACCATTTAGAAAATGATATTGATAACCCAAAAACAAAAATCGTGTTGCATGGTGTTATCAATAGTTATAATATTATGTTTCTTACCATAATGACCAACATTTAAAGAATAACCTTGAACATCATGAAATGTATACAAATTAAAACTTAGTGAATAAAAATTTGCTTTGTTTAATTGTTTGTTATAGGTTGATAAAGGTAGGTGTGTAATAATAATCCGACTCATGCAAACATTCTATAATGTATATAAAAGAGTCCTGTAAGCAAAAATAGGGAAACGGATAACTAAAAAAAAAAGGAAAATAGGAAAATAGATAATAAAAACTTTAGGACCTGGCAGAATCATCGGAATCATAGTCCAACTCAACTGCAGCATAACACTGACTCAGGGCCTTTTTACTGACACAGTATATTCAACTCTTCACCCTGGCACAATATAACACTCCAGACTATACCCGCAAAACCTATGCTAGCCTATTTCTTTATCATTACCATTGTATCAATGTCATAAGCTTGTTTTTAATGTATTGTGATTCAGGAAATTAACAAATTATCTCTCTAAAAATATAAGTTTTTTATTTTTATGTTTTTTGTGTCATTTCTAATCATTTTAGGTAATCATTAATGTGCACTCAAAATATATTTACTAACAAAAAAGGTTAACCTAATAAGATAGCAAAATCAAACCAAAATGGATTTATTAATATGGCAGTCAGTGTAATACTTTAATTAATTTAATTGGTGTAATTAGTAATTGTTTTTCCAACCAACCTGTTCCAAACGAAATCTTTCCATGGACTCAATGGAGCTAAAGTTCATTTCTCGAGAAACAACGCGGCATTTGAGAATGCGCTTCGGCACACGAGCCTCATGCTCCATGTTGGGATCGGATAGGTCTTCATTGTGCTGCCACAGGATCTTGCCTGCAAAAATGAAAAAATAAAGAGGAATACACAATCTGTATTTACTGTATATTGTTTGTATTTTCAATAAAGTATCTTATTTTCTATTTATTATGGTTGAAATAGGATTTCATTAATAAGAGAAAGACTATTATCATCCATGTAAGCAGAGATCTGGAAGGATTCAAAACCAAAACAAGTACAATACTTCTTCATGGGTCGGTACATATATGTCACATGTTGAATCCAATACCGTCACTAAATGAAAAATTAAATTTTCAGGAAAACGTGATTAAAATTTCTGAAAACAAGTTAAAAATAAGATTCGGTGGCAGTATCCAGTTTATGACAGTTTCGCCATATGATCTATATCGGACTAAGTGTGGGAGGAGACCTTCCCCTCACCCCCTTTTTCGACGTCAACTATTCTAGAGTCCTACCTATATAGATCTTAATTTAACCTTTCATTTATTTTAATGTTTTTTTAGCCCAATACTGAGTTCTGAGTGGCAATAAAGTTTTGTTTCGTAACGTGCTATTAAGGCTTAAGGAAACTAACATAAATAACTCCACACTTTACTTTCGTGTACTTAGCAAACATAATGGAACTTACCAGTGTCAGCATCGCGCAAGTTCATCCAGTTACTGTTTGTCAGCATATTAAGAAAATAACAAGAACAATAAATGAACAGACTAAAGGCACACACTAACATAAGAACATTATTGAAGATAAAAAATAAATAATTGTGAAACTTGTTGCAAAATGCTCTAAAATTTTGCTGATGTTAAAAAGGATACACTTGAAAGCCATTCAGGATGGTAGCTACGCGGTCTTGCCGCGATTCTTCTGCAGATAGGACTTCAGTCATTGTACTGTAGGTGTTTCAAAGTTGTAATTATACACAATACAATTTTTTTGCTATTTAAACAATTTTATAAACGAAATATCGTTGGTGACAGAAGTAGACAGAGGTCCACGAGAGAACAAACCACGGACAAACCAAAAACTACACAAATATGGGGAGGGCACAACTCCAACACGTCATGTGTCACTGTCAGTGTCATGAATATCGAATGAAATGGAAATGTCACTGACGGGCAATAGTGTAAAGATTAGTTAACTGCCTCCGTGGCCGAACGGTTACCATGCTAGACTGCCACACGGAGGTCCCAGGTTCGATTCCCGGGCCGGGAGAAATATTTGTATGGCCTATTTCTGTCGTGAGTTTGGGTGTAATTTGAAATCATACTCAAGTCTGCTCAAATCCTGACTTGAGTATTGCAGTGAGCACTGAAAATCATACTCAAGTCCTTGCCATTAAGGTCGTATTTCCAGTGCTTAAAATCATACCCAAGTCTGCTCAAATCCTGAACTGAATCCAATCCTGAATTCTAGAACTCTACTCAATGCTCAAGTCAGGATTTGAGCAGACTTGAGTATGATTTCAAGCACTGGAAATACGACCCTAATGGCAAGGACTTGAGTATGATTTTCAGTGCTCACTGCAATACTTAAGTCCTGACGTGAGTATTGAGTAGAGTTCTGGAATACGACCCTAAGTGTGTGTTCATGGCACCCGCGACACAGGGTTTCCCTAGTGTAGTGCGGCCTATGTTGAGTGTGTGTGTTAAAAGTTGGGCCGTGGAAAAATTTCCATATTGAAAAAATCATATTTTTCAGAAAAATAAATATTTTTCCGGTTAATGTTTCTATATTCTTCCTTTAATTATATACATTTGATGTTGACACCTGTCAAAACTTGAAGTTACTGAACGATGGAGCCTTCTTTTATTTTTTTCCATCCTCTACGATGGAGCCATATAAAAGGTTTTTTCGCTATTGCTTGTGAAATCATTAAACATATCGTTTTTCTCTGCGACTTTTTCAAGTTTGTTTTATAATTCACGCTAAATAAGACTTCGAAACATATTTCTAAACATAGAACATAATATAAGTCTTCAAAATTATATTTTTCCAATTGTTTCAAATTTTCGGGAATTTGCCAAAACAATGTCCACTATTTAATTTTTTCAGAAAATTACCCAACAGTAGAAAGATGACAGTGACGATTACTAACTTGCAACTTAGAGGATGGAAAAAATAAAGGAAACTTGCAATGATTGATCAATCACTCACGAAAGATAACAGATTTTTAATCGATTTAAAATGTTTTCTTCATAAGTTCAAGTAAAAATCATTGCGAATTGCGATACAACTCTACTTTATTTTTTAAACGTTTCCTGTGAACGTTTCGTATTACGATTACTAAAACCAGTTTAATGAATATGAATTTGTCAGTTATTAATAACTACCATACAAAAATCTTGCTAATGAACTAAAACGTATATTTTGAACTGTAAGTTGGGATTATAAGTATTCAAGTCATATTACTATTTTTAAATACATATAATTATTATCGATAAAAATATTTTACGTGTAATGGTTCGTTCAAGTTCAAAATGGTTGACAGATCGTAGAATAGAACAATCGTATTTTTTGTGTATTCGACGTTTTGTTTTGTGAAAACAGTCTGAAAACTTATTAAGTGTCGAATGCACCGACTTACCTTTCTGCATTTATGTTGCTTGCTGATTAGAAGTTATTTACTGCCTAGTAATAATTTCTATGAACTCAAAAAGTGAAATTGACGAAGCTTCAAGGTAATTTTATTTGTCGTCATTCCAGGTTAATTCAGAAATTTCCAAGATTAAACGACGCAGTTATTAGTGTTGTTGCTTATGAATTTACATCGTGAATTTATTTTTGCATGCGACTGGTGCGTATTTGTGAGACAAAGGTTTAGGTTAGGTGGGCATTACTTGCTATTTTTGCCCTTTTGTTTTGTTCTGCGTGTTCAGTGTGATGTAAACGTGCGGTTTTATTTTTATCACGTTTTAGGGGGAGCGAAGCATCATCGTCAAATAATAATACCCCAAGCAATTGTGAGGATCAGTCTACACCAGGTTTATGTCCTGCTGCACATACCAATACTGGCCAGGACATTATGAAGCGAGCCGCCGCTAAACAGTTGATCGAGAGATATTTCTACCAGTTATTAGATGGTTGTGGCAACCCTAATTGTGACAACAAATACTGTGCTTCTAGTGGCGAGGTATATGCCCCATATTCTATATTGTGTATATATAAACAAGATGTTTAGTCATCTGGATAGCTTAGACAATTTTGTTTTTTATTATTTTCAAAACAAAACAATGGAGGTGTTGGTTGATATAGACATTCTTATGACATGTAGAGAATTTTGCCCATGTTTAGTGTTTTTGTGGTGACAGGCAAGAAATTTGACACCAAATGAAGCTGCGGCTGAGGCCATAAAGCTGTTTTACAAAGAGGCGCGTCTGTGTGACAGTCTGCCCAACAAAGTGCCTCGTACAGAGGCCAATGCTTGTGATTCCAGTGCCAGGTAACTGTCTTGTATATTACTTAAGAAGTTGTACAAAATTGTAATGTTTCTTTTAGTATCTGTTAGAGGCTGAGACACAGCTCTCAGTACAATTACATCAACTGTGTTTACCAGTATAGTGTATAAAATATTATACACTATATTGTATATTAAAATACACTATATTGCCGTTATACTGTACCGTATACTGGGCAAAACAATTATTTCATGAAATATCGATTTTGAAATAAACACAAATGAAATTTCAACAATGAATATTTCTTAGGCATACTTTGGTCATCACACGTTAAATTGTAACCGATGATTCCACATTTTGTGTTTTATGAAAAATTTAAAATGTTTGCATTTTACATAAGCAATTTTGTCATGTTATCCTAAATTAAGTCATTTTCTGTGAAAATTCCAGATAATTGGTTTTTGCAGTATAAGGACAATATTGTATAAAAAAAAAATGAGATAGACCATTGGGAGGATTTTCTTTTTAATTGCGAGTTTTTTGTTCTGCCATCAGTTACAAATTTTATATTTATAGCTTATATAATAATGCAGGCATGCGAGAGTGTGCGTATAGCATGCTCACACTACAAAATTGATACAATTTATTTGCGTAAATTTTTGTTTCACATATTTACAATTGCAGACACATATAAGAAAAAATTTGGTACCCACTCCATTGCGTTCAATTTAAAAGAATTATTCATAAAATTAGCATTAAAAGTAAACTCACATACAATCACCACCATTTCAAGATCCAAAATGCAACTTGTCTGCTGTTACATCTTTTTGTTAATTCAATATTTGTTATAGCACAACATGTACGACATCAAAGTCAAAAGACATCACAGATAACAAAGAAGAGTTACAGTCCGGCGAGAGCAGCATAGAGAACCATGAAAGCACCTCACAAACACCAGAAACTAGTCAGAATAAATCTCAGCAGGATGACCACAAAACTCCTAGTCATAACAGTAAGAGAGCACCTCTATTTAGTGACATTGATGAAAACTACTATAATTGTGTCAATACCCTACTAAAATTCCACTTTTGACTATTAGTTACTTGAATACAAAATCATTAATGCAAGAATTATCCACATTAAGATGCTTTTGTAGGGTACATTATTTTTGCAGGATATCAAATGGTATGGTATGCAGGCCTCTTACAGACATGTGATACATAAATTATTGTTCATCAACACTGCCCTCCTTGTCATAAACAACGCGTTTGCATTTCGCTTTTATGAAAATGTATTATTCATAGAATACATCAACGTCAGCTTGTGTGGCTGAAAAGACTGAATACAAAGATCTGTAACAGACAAGAAGAATTTCGCCGACCTGCTAACTCGACCTGTAGCTCAATTGAAAGAGCAAGGATACCATATTCCTGTGGTTGCTGGTTCGATTTCTGTAAGGTTGGAAGAGATTTTTTTTTGTGTTCAAATTCTTTGTATTCATAATTATAGCAAACTAGTGGATATATTTCATAAGAAATGTATGAAAAATACAATAAAACTGATATTATATAAGATTTAATAAAAACCGATTAAAGAGGGTTGTAGATGTCGCTTTGTAGATTCCAGATAGTAATAACTAAATTTCGCTAAAAATGTAGATTACGTTGTTTATGATAAGGACAGCAGTAGAATGCTATTGACTTTTTAGGTTAAAATATTGGTGTATTTTCTTCTTCTGATACCTTATTTAATACACCAAAGTTTTTGCCCTCACAGCAAACATATTGTATGTTAAAAGACTTGAAATCTTTAAAATTATCAAATTAAAGAAAGTACATTTAAAGAAATGTATTCTTGTTTGACTCATTGGTCTATTGGTACAGATGATTACATGCATATAATTAGTAGTAATTATCAGTTATATCTAAATACCTTTTCAACGAATTTTCCCTCTCCCAACAAAATCATCAGTTAATGATCTTGATATATTACAATTACACACAGTTATTTTGAAAGGAGTCTTCAAATGTGATTGTCAAAAAGACTTCTCTGTTTTTTCCTACATAAATTGAAAAGTTATTTAGCAATGGACACGAAAAGTAAAACTGCTAAGTTGTTGGAGACATTGGACCAGTTGCTAGCCATGTTGATGCCGGCAGACGGCGCGCCGCTGACGGAGGAGCGGATCTGCCAGCTGTGCGACGAATGCCTCCGCAGCAAGGCGCCGCAGCCGCTCATCAGGGCGCTGGGGGAGGCGTTCACGCAGCCCGCCATCCTGGCGCGCTGCTTCCAGAGCAAACTCAGACTCGACAGCGACAGTAGTGGTGGAAAAAATACAGGTTTGTCCATAGAACAATAAATACAGTAGAATGGTTAGTTAGCATAGCACGCGTGCCAACAGAAGGTAATACTATTTTTTATTTATTTCGACATTTTTTTCAGCCCACATGACCCATAGAATACATAGCTATAATAGTGAATAGTTTATAAGAAAAGGAATCGACAATCTTTAAATAAACTTTAACCTCTATACACCAAATACACCCTGTATTTGGCTTTAAGCCTGATGTTGTCCACTATCTCTGAAAGGGTTGTAACCCTAACTTGCCGTGAACAGGTTCACGGCAATGAAATGGGAAACTTCCGGTCCACAAAATTTATTAAAGAAGTAAACTTTAAAGAAAGGCTGTAACAATATAAAGGTAAATGTAAAAAAACAGGTATAACAGTATAAAACACTCCCTACACTTTATTACTAAGGCACTTACCCCTAAATGGGCCGAGAAACTGAATTACAGAAATAGATACATGAAGGGTGTAGACTTATAAATTATTACACATGATTAGCTTATTAACTGCTCTGACTGTTGTGGCGGTCGAGCTGGGAGTGACCGTGGTACGAAAACAAAATGAGAAAGTGAAGTAAGATGGAACAATTCAAATTTAAATACATGTAAAAATAAAAAATGATAGGATACAAGCGGAGAGAGGCGATACAAAGAGGTGAAATGACGGTGTAAGAGGTCACACCGTCACATCTCCTCATACTTTGTGGAATGAGGCCAACTTGCGCTCATTAGGACATTTTCGCTTTGTACAGTAAGCTTGTGTTAATTCTTTCGCGCAAATTATCTAAAATCGAAGATGATGACTGACTGTGCTGTGAATGACTTATTGTGCTGTTTTGGAGTGCAAAAATTATAGCCACCACCAAAAAGTATTACCCGTGGTCGTTTTTCACATCATGGGCAAGTCTTGATAAATTTTCAAATTTCTCTTTATCGAATTAATTTTTCGTACCGTAACAAACGAAAGTAAACATTATCTAAGAGCAATGTGGTCGAGTTTTATCTTTTGTAGAACTAAGTAAACATCTCGTATTTTCCACAGTTTAGTAGCGTTTTACCGTAGTACAGGGTCAAGAGCACGCCACGCTTTACACTTAAGACTTAAATCCAACTCTATGCCGCCTACGATAAGAACGGTCCAAAGTACAAAGCGACAAGCTTGATGTGCATGTGTACAAAAATTTAAGAAAAAATGCTTCATGAGTGTTTTGTTAATTTTAAACTTAATTGATCGAAATAAAAATACACTTTTAACATTAAATATGAAATATGAGTGCTTAATATTCATATTAAATTTCATATAACGCACATATTCAACATAGCTCCGCACTAGGGATAGTATAGTGGGTGCCATAGACACACACATAGACAACCACAAATTACACCCAAACTCACGAGAGAAATAAATGTAGACCATACAAATATTTCTCCCGGCCCGGGTATCGAACCTCGGACCTCTGCGTGGCAGTCCGATATTGACAAGCAGTGTTTTGTAGCAGTAGAGCTCCTTGTGAAAGAGTTTGTCCAGGGAAGCACTGCCGCCAAGCTGTAATGAAAGCGTTACTGCGTTCCGGTGAAGGGATAGACTGGTTTCACAGCTGTGCATACGGTCCGTACGGACTGTCCGCCTGGTGGGCATTCGCATGCGTAGAATTCGCAGTGCTCTGAATCGAGCATCGAGAATATAACCAGAAACAGATACGAAATAAGAGCCATATATTCCTGGTAACACATTAGCGATACAGCTCTTATAAATATCAACTCCCGTTTGCTCTGAAATATAGATAGGCCAACTACTGACCTGTGTGTACGTCTCCGTATATTCCAAAAAATATTCTGTTTTTATTGTAATAAAAATAATATCTCTAACAATGCCGTGCTGTTCTATTCGGTGGTGTGGGAAAAACAGCAAAACATCTAATTACAAAACAAACGAAATCATATTTCATCGGTAATTAAATATTAAATATGTTATTTTGCAATTTTCGTCCATTATAGCAAAGCTCAAGTTAACTGGTCGATTTGAAGTGAAACAGTTGACGACACCCGTCAATTGTTTCGAATTCGGTCTAGCCAATCGGAGCGCAGTTGTCACAGTAATAATATGGCAGAATAGTTTTCAAACAAATTAAAAGACATTTCGTCTCTATTTCTGGTTATATACTCGGATATTCACCTACAATGAACGCACGGGTGGCTTGTGCAGCGTTCACGCGAAGCGTGTTCTGTACGGAGCAAACCGCGTCACTGTAAAACAATATTCTAATGCCACGTGTTACTCCGCTCCGGTGCTCCGCGCGGACGGTCCGCAGATCCTAAGGCTCAACTCACACTGGCGCAGAGTCGAAGCATCATGACGCGTCATGTTTGTCGCCTATAGCATATTCATCTATTTTCCCATTCATAAGGTACAAATTTGTGTCATGCAAATATGGGCGCAGTGGCGCGACGCTTCGACTCTGCGCCAGTGTGAGTTTAGCCTAAGGGTGCTGGTGAAATTACAGACACATGGGTGGGACTTGTCAACTTATGTTTCAAGGTGACGGTGACGGGCGCAGTGGTAGTGCCCCTAAGATCTTTGATCGATTTACAGAGCGGCACTGCAGCTGTTATAAATAGGCGTGTCGCTTACTACCAGGCGCACGTCCCGTCACTTGGTATAAAAAAAAAAGTGAGCTGCTTAACAAAATTGCCTATGTACGTGTAACTATTAAGTAATCTGTGTATAGTAGTATGTGGGTGCAAGAGGAATATGAAACGGTATTGTGTGGCAGATAAAGAATCGAAAGCGATGTGTTCGTCGAGCGACCCGGACAAAGACGTGGACAGCGTCGCGGGGCCCGAGCTGGACGTCGTCTCGTGTCGCAAAGCCTTCGGGTACCTTGCCAAAGTTAGTATTAAATAAGTTTAGAGTGCACGCTAAACCTACTACCTATACTTAAAGGTAATAGTGTACATAGAGCGGGCAATACCTCCCTCTGAAATATCCAAATTTGTGTTTGGTTTTACATTTTTTACTCTAGCTATTACTACTACGAGTGTGTTTATAAGAAAAGTTTTGTGGTTGTAAGTAAAAATGTAACTAACTGTTTTGTTTTGATTCTTACACCCCTTTTATTATTAATTAGCCTGAAATTGTTGTGGGAGGTTTTATCCACTCTATGTGTATTACTTGAACTTCACTTAAATATACTTAGGTTATTCTGGAGTTTGCTAATTACATTTGCACGCATTCAAGAGCCGTGTACCTTCAAAATAAACAGTTTATTATTTAACCCAATGAATATACTATAGAAAGTAGCAGCCGGTATAAAATTATAATGTGCAATGATGTTTTATCTATATACAATTACGGTACAGAACTTGTACAAGTGCTTAGAAGCTAAAAATATTGTTATATGGAACTGGAAATCTAGAAATGTTGGTTTTTAGTCATCTTTCCACATTACATTCAAGTGTTCGTGAAGGCGCATCAAATTTTGCTTTAACAACAATAATGTGACAATTATGAATGGGTACCTTTTACCTTCTCAATACTACCAGGTGCCATCAGAATACTACAGCTCGGCTCTAGTCACGGCGTTGACGACACTGGCGGAAAACATGGAGATAGACTTGAGGATAACGAAAAAGATGAGCATAGAGGACGCAGTCAACTGCTTCGTAATAGCTTTCGAGGTGCCAGATCTCGGCTGCAGCGACTACCTCGAAATAGCTCTGCCTGCACTGTGTCACGCGGCGGAGCATCTTCCTGTTAAAGGTATACCGAATTTTACTTTATGGGCTTTATTTTCGTATGGCATGTATTTAAATGACCGTTTTAGATTTGCAAAAACAGCTGGCAAAACAATCTAAACGATTATCTTTTTTAATGATTGATCCTCTTTCTCTGAGACGTAATATAAATTAAATCAATGGATATTTTAAACTGTTCTGTGGTATGAAAAAATGTTTGATTTCTGTATATTAACTTTGATAATTTTATGTTGAGCCTCGAAACTAAGACAAATGAACATTAAAAATAAAATTTATTTTTAAAACTAAGTATATGTTGTTATATTTGTATACTAATATTGTATTAATTATGATATAATTTGACCTGAAAACATGTTCGGAAACGCATGCAAATTGGCACTCGCCATGACAAGCTCGACACGCTCGCTTCGCTGTCTCGACTCGTGCTGCTTTTTCATATACTGACCTACTGAATGGAGGGCGCAACCAAGCAATCAAGATTTATTAGGAGATCAATATCAAAAGATATACTGGTTATAAATGTCATCAATCGTTAAAAGAAAAGACCAATAATAGAAAAAGAGGATCAAATATTATTTTTGAATACCAAATATTAAGTTAGTATGCTTAAACATAATGATAGTGTCACCTTGAATGAGTTCATTGATATTTATCGGTAGATCATCGAGTACAGTTGGAACAATGAATATATAATGTATGAAACACAATTCGGGCCACCACGCATTTTCAGTATTAAGTGCCCTAACCTTAAACAATGTTTGCTTGTTATAATTATTAATACAAAGATCGAACGCTCAGAAAAAACACTCAGAAAAAAAATTCCTTCGATCCGGTCGGATTCGAACAGACGTCATCTTGCGTACCGTGCCAGACGCTATACCAACTAAGCCACGGAACGAACCAACGGACCTCACGAACTTTTCTATGTGCTTGCGTCGTGTCTTTGTACTTGGTCTTTCAACGACTTTTTATACAAAATTTAATTAATACAGTGAATAGCGACATCTCTCGCCAGGACTGGTAGCTGTAAAGGTACTAACTGGGTGATAAATCTGTAATAGATTTCTCATAGATGGCGCTACGACTAAAAAGTCGTTGAAAGACCAAGTACAAAGACACGACGCAAGCACATAGAAAAGTTCGTGAGGTCCGTTGGTTCGTTCGGTACGCAAGAAGACGTCGGTTCGAATCCGACCGGATCGAAGGATTTTTTTTTCTGAGTGTTTTTTCTGACTGTTCGATCTTTGTATTAATAATTATAACAAACTAGTGGAGTAATTTTCGCAAAAAATAATTGAATATCAATTCAATAAAAAATTTAATTAATGTTTGCTTGATCAAAAACTATTATGCAATTTTGAATCTAGTATACTAAATGTCTTTTCCATAAGTCTTTGTTGAAGACTTTTTTTTCGATGATAACACTATTTTTGTATTCTAGCCCTTTACGACAAAAATGCGAGGTGGCTCGAATTATGTGTCCGGAAGTATATAACAAAAAATATCGTTTATTTAAAAAAGTGCACATTTGCGATAGATCAACTGTATTTGAGGATCAAATAATGTTATCCCTTTTCGTATAGATAAATTTCATCTCCCATCGAAACATATTGCGACTGTCATATTCGCCATTTTAATCGTGGTTGTGTTTCTTGTGTTGGGTTATAAGGGTGCGTACAGGTCTGGCGAATGCGCCGCAAATGCGCCTGTTTGCGAAAAGCTCGCAAGGTGCACACGTGCATGACGTTGTGCGATCTATTCGCACGCCACGTACATTGCCACATACATTTACATGTATTTAACAGCACGCGAGTAGCGCGCGTGAAGCACATTCGCCAGGTCTATACGCACCCTTAATATTAAGTATGTAATTATTAACTAATGATAGTGTGTCCATTGAACAGCTCAAGCGAAATTGGCACGAGTGTGGGCACAGCACTGTAAGGATAGCCTCCGTCACATTCTGGAGACGCTACAGCAGCTGATCACGTTGCGCGTCATCTCCACCAACTACACGAGGCACTTCCAGCTGCAGGACGACGAGAGTGTCACCTTGGCTACTAAACTTATGAAGGTTACCAGCTGATTTATATTTCTTTACTTTTAAGAAAACCCATAAGGTTTGTTCATAGGTTTCTCAGACTTTCTTAAATAGTATAAAACGTTATTCGGAATTATGGCTATGTTCCTTAATATATTCAAAGACCAAACAGTTACAAGTTTATTTTTCAGTAAACACAGTACTAATCTTATTTTTTATATTATTTATATAATTGTTGGTAATGGGAAACATATTTTTATCTAAAAACCTGTGTTAAATCATAACTTTCCTGGGAATCAACAGATAGTATACTACGCGAATATGCTAGCCGGTGTGATGGAGTCCAACACGTTGCGAGAGGAGCCGGTCGTAATCGCGAGCCAGCTAGATCCCCTTGGCGACGCTCTTGACCATTTATACCCACTATCGTCAATGAAAAATTCTAAGCAGTCACAGCCTGATGATCCTTTAGGTGAGAATTAAAGTTTTTGACGATAAACGGTTACATTTTGGACGTCTTTTGCTTATAAATTATGAAAGTATATATAGAGAATAATATTTGGCCTAAAAGGTGCCCTTGGGAGACACCATTAGTTTCTGTTGATCCTATTATTACATAATTCGCCTTTGATGTAATAACTTATCATTATATTACTGAATAACGAAACAAAGTTGGATTCACATTGCTAATTACATAAATTTGGGTGGTAATAATATGATATTACACTGTCAAACGCTTTTATGAAAACCAATGTTTCAATTTGGGTAATACTGATGACATACTAAGATTTTGTTTTTATTTTGTTTCAGCTATTGAATTAGATATAAATGTACTAGATGCTAGGAAGCCATACCTGCCATTTGAGGAATTCTACAACGAACCTCTTAGTGATACTATAGAAATGGATATAGATTTTGCTAATTATAAAACTGAGATAAGTAATGGTAAGTCGTTTTTATTTAATAAAGGTAGTAATAAAGGCTCCGAAAAGTAAATAAAAAATGAGCTTATTTTAAATATAAATATGCTGCTATTTACTAAGCTGTCGTAAAATTTTGTGCAAATAAAATGCGGAAATAACAGAATGTAATACTGAAACTTCCGAAAAATCTTGCTTACGTAATGCTACTCTACCAATTAATGTTTATTTTACCGAAAATTGTAAGACACTTATCATAAATCACCTATTCTTTTTCTTCTTTGTATCCTAATCACACGCTAGGTGGAGTCGGCACAACATGTATTTTTCTTCCACTCTCCCCTATCAGTCGTCGTTTTCATACTCACATCACCTATTCTAAACTTAAAATCTAATTTATACCTTAAACCTTCAATTATAATATAATGATATTTTTATACTTGTAAAGACTAACGTTTGAGAATTAAATATTCTAATCCTAACTTAGAAAGTATAACTAGACTAATGTACCGTTGAAAAATTAAACATACCATATAATATTTATGACAGAAAGAACAGGTTTCATTGTAGTTCTTTAAAAAATGGATCATGTGGGATCGGAGGGAGTGGAATATCTTCTTACCCTTTTCTTTTGTGTTTATTACTGACAATATGCAGTGGTGTACAGAAAAATCTAAAATGTAATAGGTTTATGCGACATCGTTTAATGTGTTTTTTTGTACAGTTGCATTGCCACTCTGGCCTTTGAATCGCAAAGATCTGAGGGGCATTACCACTTCGCCCGTCACCCTGAGACATAAGTTGACATGTCTCATGTGCCTGTAATTTCACTAGCACTATCACTACAAAACCGGAACGCAGTAATGCTGACATTACTGCTTGGCGGCAGAAATAGGTAAGGTGGCAGTACTTCCCTGGACGTGCTCTTTCACAAGGAACTTTACTGCTATCGATGTATGTTATAAATAAATAAAAAAATATACATTGCATAAACTTTGGGGCCTGTTAAGTGCCACTATAGGATATACAACGGTAAGTTAGTTTTTTCGGAAGTTTTTATTACTCGAAAGTACAGTTTTTTAGTTACTCACCCTAAAGCGGCTCAGTTAGTGTTTTTCGGAGCCTTCATTATCTCCCTCGCATGGGCGAGCGAGGCCCGGAGTCGAGCGCCTTGGCGGTCCGCAGGTAAGAAATTCGCGTTCCTGAAGTACCCGTTCATCCTGACGGCGGCCACCAAGTCGCTGGGGCTGTACTACGAGAACCGCATCCGCATGTACTCGGAGCGGCGCGTGTCGCTGCTGCACGCCGTGGTGGGCGCGGCGCCGCCCATGCCCTTCCTGCGCCTCAAGGTGCGGCGCTCGCACCTCATCGACGACGCGCTCGTCGAGGTCAGTGCCCCCTGCTTCGTTTCGACACAACCCGGCTCAAAGGACTTGGATCCAAGCCAAAAACCTATTTAAAATACGCATCAAGCTTCCCGCGCTTTTTGAGTATTGCCAACACGTGTGACTGAATGCTATACTGCCAAGTCGACCGCTCGTTTTTTCAGTGCGTGTGTTCTTTTTGTACCCTTTTGAAAAGGTTAATGTTAAAAAAAATATTAAAAAGCTGTTGTAGTAGCTTATTTGTATTAGTTTCTTGCATTTATTGACTAAAGTCATATACAGGCTGTATATTTGAAAGTGAGACATATTCATACATGTCATAGTAAATCATGTTACAACTTAACATAGACTAAAATAAAATTAGGATATGGGATAGAACAAAAAATAAATCAACAAATGTGTTTTGAAGTGTAGATAGGAATAAACCGATTCCCTTTACGCTTAATTTCGAGTGTAATGGGAGTGCTACCAAGCGAGCGCCGAGTGAGACAGCAACAATAACAATGATTTCACATTTACGTTTTAGGTTATGTTAATTGTTTTTTACTTGAACTATCATCGAAATGTTTTAGTAAGTAGTTATCATTTAATAAGAATTGAGGTTTTTGGCGTAGTTAAAAATGTGAAATCAAATTAATTACAATGATTGATTTTTTAGTTATTTACAGTTTATTTACACTTACGTGGTACGGAGCAAGTGTTCAAAATGTCCACCGTTTTCCACAATGCATAGTCTAGCACGGCATAGTAAATTTTGTTTTAAATTGTACAACACAAACACATTTTGTCTCACAGTATAAAATGCTGAGATAATCCTCTCACGCAACGCTTCGACACTGTTCACCTCTTTCGCGTAAACTCCGATTTGGGAACATTTCAATAGCTTGCCTCACACTATCACCACTTATTGCGTAAAGTCGCACCATCTCAGTCAATTCCACGTTAGAATAAATACCCATTTTGCGGCGATCGGGCGAGCGGAAGGACAAATAATTTACGTGTCTTCGTTAGATCAAGGTCGCGCGTGGACTGAGCAATTTCGCGTATGCGCCCGCGTCCCGTCCTCACCCCCGACCTGTGCTTTGCTTTTCGCCGCTGCGTCGGAGCAATAATAGTGATGTGCATAGATTTCGATAACTAATGTTGTGCTCAAGTAGTAGTCGATAAAAAAATAAAATAAAATATTTTTTGTAAAGTTTAAGTTCATTAGTTTATTATTTCTTTGGGTTGAGAATCAGGAATATAACCCACTCTATAAGTATGTCCCACTTTCAAATATACAGCCTGTATATCTAATATAATATCATCCAGCAATCTGTTACTTCCCGGCCTCCGTAATAATGTATTAATATGGGCGTTGTTTCCGCTGCACCTGTAAATTTTACACTTCATTTCACGTTTTATTAAACGATAGATTTATTTTTTTACTATTGATAGAAACATCGACTTCTCTGCAAAACAGAAATAATTGGCTCGTGGTCTACGAGACATATTATAATCACGTAACGTTATTGAACAGGGTATTTTTTTTTTTTAAAGAGACAGTTGCCAAATAGGCAGTAGTTTATATACTATAGCAAGGGAACTCGGCGTTGGTAACTTGCCCCGTCGGACAAAAAGCGTTTTTTATGGGAAACTGGATGCTGCTAAATTGTTGGATGAAGTTTAGTGTATTATGCCCTGATTAACCAAACTTTTAATAGACTCTTCACCGAAAGTGAGTTGACAACACCAGTGGTGCCAGATTAGGCGATTTTTCGCCATTTAGGCTACTTCGAGGGGTCGTGCGGTGACTAAAAAAGTGATCGGCGACTCGGCAATATTTAGGCTATGTTTGAAATAGGAAAAGGCGATTTTAAGCTACTTAATAAAATGTCCATGGAATTACAAACTTGATTGGGGATTTTGTGGGAAATGGAGTTGGAAAACAACTCATTTGGGGGTTTGAGTAGTTCTATATGTGGGGAATTGGGGAAATAAGAGGGTTCATATTCCCCAATCTCCAGCAGGAAGTAGAATTATAGAATTGTTTTCCTTGAAGTCTGACAACACTGGACAATACTAAGTGGTAAAATCCAGAAGAATAAAGTGTTCAATACCGCATCACTTTTTACCATCCTATTAAACCAAAAACGATGAATGTTTAATAGGTTTTCGTACTTTTTCAACGAAGAAATACAATACTTTACAGTTGGAAATGGTAGCAATGGAGCGGGCGTTGGACCTGAAGAAGCAACTGGTGGTGGAGTTCGAAGGCGAGCAGGGCGTAGACGAAGGTGGAGTCAGCAAGGAATTCTTTCAGCTCATAGTGGAAGAAATCTTCAACCCCGACTATGGCATGTTCACGCACCAACCTGATTCACATACAGTATGGTAAGTGTCCATTGTAATGAAACTATTATTGGAAACACACGTCGTACTTCGTAAAGTTATAAGTTTTGTGAAAGACCTTACCTATTTCTGCAGCCAAACAGTAATGCTCACTTTACTACATTCCGGTTTTGAAGGGTAAGGGGGCTGGTCAACTTATGTCTCAGGGTGTCCCTCATAACTTTGTGATTTAAAGTTCTGAATGGTGCTGCAACTGTAATGGACAGGCGTGTCGCTAATCACCAGTGCGACTTGTTCGTTCTGTCACTTGATATCATAAAAAGGAAATATTTTTTCCTTGTTATAATTTCGCCTCTATTTAAGACGCTATAAGCAATTAACGTATTAGAAACCCAGACACCACTAAAACTCGTACCCAGCAGTAAAACCTATGCCCAGCGATGGAACAAACAAAATAAAAATACTATGTTAAAATTTATCCGTAGGTTCAACCCCACGTCATTTGAAACGGAAGCGCAGTTCACATTAATCGGAATAGTATTGGGTCTAGCTATATACAACAATGTAATACTGGCAGTCAACTTCCCCATGGTAGTGTACAGGAAACTGACAGGGAAGAAAGGCTCTTTCGAGGACCTCGCCGACTGGAATCCTGTAAGTTTCACTTTGTTATACTTATTAATTATTGTGAAGTCGCTACACCTACAGAAGTTGGTTTAGTCATATAAAGGACCCATTCGCAAACCGCCATGTAGTCGTAAAAGAGCTAATTCACTCGAACTCTCCTGTACCTAAATAGTCCATTCCACGAAAAACAATTTTTAAAAACACAACACTTTGTCCCAATCATTTATTTTACTTTTGACATAACCATGCCTTTGAAGTTCAATAATTAAATATAGACGACCATAGACAAAAAATGCAATACGTCATGGACGCTGTTCTTCTTTACTGCAGTGAAGCGACGTACTATTTAGCTCCAATTATAAAATCGAGCCGACAGATTATGTAAAGATTATTCAAATTGATTTCTCCGTTGTTTAGTTGTATACAACTGTCTGATAAACTGTAATTAAGATTATTAACTTATTTACTCTAAATTCTAATTGTTTATTATAATTAATTCTTCTCCATATGAATTAGAATCATCTCTTAAATCCTCTGTAATATTAATTCATTGTGGATGAACTCACTCACATTCACGATTAAAACTTCCATATAAATAAAGTCGAATGTTATAAGAATCGGTAACGCATTAGGATATCACTAATTGCTTAGTACTCAAGCTGTTAAAAGTAATATAAATGGTTGGACGGAGTATAGGTAGTAAAATCGACCGACATCGATGTTCATCTAACCGATATCTAGGATTTTATAATGCTCTATGCGAGTAACGAGCTTTGCCAAAATAAATTATGCTCATTTCAGTGAATTTGAAACTTTAAAAAGCTTCCCTCTAAACTTGGCAATTTCGGCATACAATACTTTACGTAGGAGTCGAAATTATCGATTCGTAAAAGGACAATATTCTATAATTTTGAAGGAAATGTACAAAATCATGTTCTTTAAGAAAAATCACGTATGGAGGTCATCGTTATTACATTAATCAACCAATATAACTTATAGTGGAAGACCTGATCTATGATATCGAGTTTTTAAATTATCCTAGTTGCTATACCCCATGACACGTCACTGTCATGGCTGACTGCGACCACGGGACCTGTAAACGTTGGTGTGTTTCAAAAAACAAATATACCCGATTGCAATATCTTTATTGAATATCACAATGTTTTTACTATCATGATATGCCATCTATTTTATTGTGTAAATACTCCACTAGTTTGTTACTCTTATTGACACAAAGATCGAGCAATTAATATAACGACATCACTGTGAGTTTTCTGGTAGTTGTAAAGGTACCTAACTGAGCGAAGATGCTTTTATAAATTTCCACAGATGGCGCTACGGCAAAGAAGCCGTTATAAAAACTCAAAACAAAGGTCCGCAACAAACACAGAGAAAACCGTATCATCTGTTAGCTCGATCCGTAGCTTTGGCAAAATGGTAGCCACGTGAAGGCGACAGACCGTGGTTCGAGTCCGGTCGGATGAAACGAATTTTTCGTCCCGTTTGTTCGATCTTTGTATCTATAAATATATACGCGATTTTAAATCAGAAAAAATAGTTTTATGATCTAATGATTATTTGGTAATGTGCTTTAGAGCGATTGCGTACGACTGCCGACCATTCAGACGGACTAACACCGTCATTTCTCGGATTAGGACTGATACGTTCCGAGGTTCGAAATATCACAGGGATATTTTTATCTCTAGGTTTACAAGCGATACGATTATGAACGCGCTTACGATTTTTGGCAGTTAGAGCAACAAATGCATTTCTCTCTTGTGACTAAACCAAATTGATAAGTCATACCAGCATACTCGTCGTTAACTTGTCAAGATCTAAATTTTTTTTACATTGCAGATATTATACAACGGTTTAAAATATATGTTAGAGTATGAAGCAAACGATTTGGAGGAAGTATTCTATCAGACCTTCAGGATATGTTATCAAGATGTGTTCGGAAACACGATATTTCACGATCTACAAGAAAACGGAGATAGTATGTTTGTTACGCAAGAAAATAAAAAGGTAATGTCACAAACCCGATATATTAATTTCCTATACATCTGAATCATTTCAGTTTACACGTTTACGTGAAAATTTTCATAAACCGATACCTTACTTTCTCAAACTCATATCTTATAAAGAGTGATCATACTTGGTACTTGGTGTAACGGGCTGGTGTCCGCAACTCGACGTCAAGGCCCCTATTTTGCGTGTGGTAAGTGCAGGGTCCTACTCGTGCCACCCAAGCTCCTCCAGTAATCTCAGCAGCCTCCTCCTCCTCGGTTTGCTGAAGACTTTGGGGAGCGACCTTGGCACTCCAAGGTACTTTGTCCTGTAGTTGGCCACGCCGGAGCACTGTAGTACGATGTGCGCAGCCGTTTCCTCCCCCTGCATGCACGCTCTGCATAGAGGGCTGTCTGTGATACCTAAATTGAAAAGGTGTTTATTGTATGGACCATGACCTGTTAGGGCGGCAGTTAGAGTGCGAAGTTCTTGCCTGTTGAGTTTAAATAATATTCGTGATAGACTGGCTGGAAAGAGTGCTCATTCAGGAGATGGCAAAACTTTATATTTATTTTAAATTTCTTGTCAAGGGTGTGTGTCAACATGATATGAAATCAGCCTGTAAAATTTATATATACAATCCATTTTTTGCATTTTAGTAACTTTGTGCTTTAAGATACGAGTTTGAGAAAGCAAGGCGACGAAATGTTAATAACAAATTGAGAGAATAGAGAGCCTTGGTAGCCTAGTGGAAAAACGGCTAAGAAGTCTGTTCGAATCCCTGTGTATACTTAATGACTTTGATCTTTAAGTTACATACATAAAATATAGTAAATGTTTAAATATCTTTCGTTAACGGTGAAGGCACACGTCATGATGAAACCTATATGCTGAAGGATCACAACCATTCCCCTACCTTACAGGAGAGCCGCGCTCAGCAGTGGGATGTAAATGGGTTTATGATTTGAACAAAGTTGTTCACCTTCTATAATTTTGTACTGTTCTATCTTGTGTATTTTCACAGCACTATGTTCAAGTGTAAGTTGCATACCTACGATATATACTTTCCACCTCACTAGCTCGGAAAGGCTTTCTTTCTCGTGAGAAATCTACGCGCCAAAGCGTTTTTTCCACACTAGATTTTTGAAATTCAAACTTGACGATGGACTGTGGTGCACCTAACTGTTGTTTTTCTATGATAAAAAAAACATTATAACACGTTCAACTACGCGATTTGTCGTATATTATTTGTGTAATAAAAATCCGTTGGTATGTGTTATTCTTAATATCGTTGACGTTAAATTGACAACGATAACTAATTGTTATAATTCAACTCTTTTTCTTTCCTCTACCATTTTCCTCGCTATAGTGAGGTGAAAAATTGTGTTTCGCTCGGCAGCAAAGTTGTTTAAGAGTCTCGTGTCTTGGGACCCTCGCTACGTTCAGGATTTTACTTTTGAACCAATCTCTCTGTTCGTGGTTCAATCTTGACATCCTTCGCTTGCTCAGTACAAGCGCTCGCGACAAACAAATAACTATTAAACGTTTGAGAGTAAAGCTGCCAAACGAGTAACCAATGACACGTGTTGTTTGCCAGGAGTTCGTGGACCTTTACGCCGATTTCCTGTTGAACAAATCGGTGGAGACGCAGTTCAAGGCGTTCCGGCGCGGCTTCGTGATGGTGACGGATGAGTCGCCCCTGGCCGCGCTCTTCCGCCCCGAGGAGGTGGAGACGCTCGTATGCGGCAGCAAGGTTCGCAGGGGTCTTTGTTAGCTGGCCTTTAGCCCCTTGGTCGGTGTAGGACAAGTTCGGGATTAGCTATCGTCAGAAAAACTAGTACAAAATAGCAGCAGAGCTCCTTGTGAAAGGGTTCGTCCAGGGAAGTACTGCCACCTTACCTGTTTCTGCCTCCAAGCGGTAATGAGAGCATTACGGTGTTCTGGTTTTGAAGGGTAAAGGTACTGGTGAAATTACAACCACATGGGACTTGTCAACTTATGTCTCAGGGTGACGGGCGCAGTGGCAGTGCCCCTAAAGATCTTTGCGATTTAAAACATTGAGTGGCACTGCAACTGTTATGGACAGGCGTGTAGCTTACCATCAGGCGTACGACTTGTTCGTCCCGTCAATTGATATTATATAAAAAAAAACTACAGTTGTGCACAAAATATCTGAACTTCACAACATAGGTTACTTAAAAACAATCCACTTAGGAGACGCCTCTTAAGCCCCCCCGACTACTTACGAATTGGCACTGATTTATCAAAGTCTACGCGATAATCAAGTTTTCGTATGAATTGTCCAAGCAATGGGACATTGACATTATATAGAAGTAAATACAAACGTTAAGTAGACAACCTGTTTATTAAGAATTACCAGTATAATATGTACGTATTTATTCAACGTTCTGTTAACTATTGCATTTACGTTCTGTTAAATATTCCGTGTTAACTATTGCATAAAATTTAATTTATTTTCAAAATTTATTGCTTTAAACAAGGCTTTCTTTCACGTATCAATCTAGTTGGTATTATGTGGAATTTAATTGTTTTAGTAACTATATTGTATCTTAAAACTCAACTGCCAACGTGGCCGAACGGTTGCCATGCTAGTCTGCCACGCACAGGTCCCGGGTTCGATTCCCGGGCCAGGAGAAATATTGTAAACATGAAACCGTCGCATTGATTAAACAATTTTACTTTCATTCGTATGGTAAGGTCTGTTCCAAACGTTCTGTACCAAAAAAGTAAACAAACTGGTTTAGTTATAAAGCAATAACCATTGACTTACAATTATATGGACGTCAAAAAAAGTGTCCGAACTTATAGGGCGTTAAAATCGTATACAGAGCGTCATTCACGCTCTAGTCTTCGTTTGTTCGACTGACAGCGAAGCAAGCAAAATTAGACAGTACTGCGATGACATTACAATTTAAATTCAACGTTTTAGATTTGTCATATTCCTTGACATGTCACTACGTTTAAATAGGTTGACTTGGGACATTTTTTTCGTGGTTTTTGTATTAGACCCGTCGTCCATTTATTTGTAAGTCAATGGCAATAACTCAATAAATGGAATAAGTAACACTTTCACGTATATTTTGAAGATTTCAACTTGATTCCAGCAATATTCATTTGAATAACATATTAAAATCTTATTTGAAATATTTTCGTTCAAACGTGAGGTTATTTCCCAAATATAGACTTGTGAATAGTCTATGGTTGCATGGACCTGTACGGAAGGAAGTAACTCATTCAGTTAATTCAATTAAAGTTTTTGTAATCGATTAGTGAATCGAAAATTTAATCGCAATCGAACGAATATCTAAGTATCTTTAAATTTGCTTTTTATTGGTTATATTGCACAAATAAATGACATTGAAAATTACAAGTTACAAAGGACATATGCAAAGGTGATCTCATCTCTGGAAGAGATCTCTTCCAGCCAACCCTAGCCGTGGTGAATAAACTAAGTCTGCGGGACATTATTGTACAATACATTTATAAAAATTAAAATGTAAATATCTATGACGACAATAGAAATATGGCTGAGATATAAACCTACGTAAACTCATACCTTCGTAAATACATACTTACACAATATATATTATTATCAAAACAAATTATTAGTTTATATTTGTTATTATTATTATTTTTTTATTACGGATTAACTTCCGAGTTTAACAGGAAGTGCTCGTTTAATTTGCGCTTGAATGATGCAACTGATGGACTGTCACGAATGCTAATTAATGATAATTTATTCCACATACGAGCTGCACTAACTGTAAAAGAATAGTGGTAAAAATTGGAATTGGATTGAGGACATAACAGTGTTCTAGTGTTACAGGTTCGTTTTGGGCGTGAAGTGGGGGTTAAGTGAGTAAAACGGGGGCGTAGATAGTGAGGAAGCTGAGGGTAGTGTAGGGTTTTGCGTAAAAGACAAAGGATGTGCAAATCTCTGCGAAGTCGGATAGGCAGCCATTTTAATTTAGATCGAAATTCAGAAATATGGTCATATTTATTTATGGTCATATTTATATAAGATCTCATGTCATCTAATCTCATGTAATATCATCACTCAGTATTGAATCACATATTTTTTTATAGTAATCAGCAGCGAAATCGTAGTAGCCATTTTGTTATATAAAAACCCAGTTATTCCAATAAATTCAACAAATCTATTCATTCAATTAATTGATCGATTTGTAGTTGGCAGTACAGTTGGCCATCGTTAAACTATTTATGGTCGGGTCAATGATCTGTTTGTTTAGTTTGCTGGTACAATGGAATGGGACAGACTATAGATTCTCCTGAAAATAATGAGTACGAAACTGTAGGGGTTGTTCTATATATAAATAAACATACAAGAGCTAAACGGGTAGCTACTTTGGATTTTTGTCATCCAAATACGTAGATACTGTATAATAATCAGTTTTTACTTCATAACAGTTTATGTATGTCCATAGTAAATGGTACCCTATTACAAACTCGTATTTTATTTCCGAAATAACGTTTTTTCGAAGTTTCATTCATCACCGAAAACCGACTAACGAATAACGAAACCGTTGTTCTTTCAGGATATGTTGGATGTTTATCGCAAAAACACGATTAGGTTCGGTTAGGTTTAAAAGAAAAACTTTTCCTCTCAAAATTACTTTCGAGGTTATGAAAATTCGAGCAAACGTCATTTCTGGAAAATGTTATTTCGGACTTCTAATAGGTAACCATAGTAAATGGCATGTTCGTTACAGAACTTCGATTTCAACGAGCTGGAGAAGTCGACAGAATACGACGGAGGCTACACGTCCGAGTCGCAGACCATAAAGGACTTCTGGAGTATCGTGCACAGTCTGTCTCTAGACGACAAGAGGAAACTCCTGCAGTTCACGACGGGCTCCGATCGAGTGCCCGTCGGCGGGCTGAGCCACCTCAAGCTGGTGATAGCTAGGAACGGCCCAGACTGCGACCGCCTGCCCACCGCCCACACGTGCTTCAACGTCCTGTTGCTGCCGGAATACGAAAGTAAAGAGAAACTCCAGGATAGACTGATGAAAGCAATAAGCTACTCGAAAGGATTCGGGATGCTTTAACGTTCGCCTGCGACGCGTCATGTCTCACGGAACAAACAATAAGAAGATAAACTATTGTTGTAAAGCCATGATATTAGTGGTGTCTTTGTAACATTAATTAATTAAAGTTTGTTTATTTATACACATCACTTGTTTTATATGTTATTTAATAGCAATGAAGAATGAAAAACAGTAATTGGTTTTTTGTAATTTATTACAGAGTGTATAATAAAACTTTAGTTAAAACTAACATCGACAAATCGGAACATATACGTAGGAACTTTTTACCACTAAATTTGAATTTTAATATCCCTGCTGCCTCGATACAATTTTATCCTACCTATTTAATTTTCGTTTATTAACGATATTTATTCTTAAATAAAAAAAATGATATTCCATCATAAACGGTTTAGATTAAGAAAATTAGCAACGCAGGCTATTCCGTCATATGATCGAGGCCAAGCTAACGAGCAACACGTGCAACAATTTTTACAATAAACATAGAAAACCAAAAGTACAGTCACGTGCATAAGCGTTCAATCATGCAATATTTAGTCCACGTAACTACTGGTTTCGATTTTCTTTCGCTAAGTACCTATATCAATTGCACGTGGCTGTACTCACAATTACAAATTAATCTTATTATATATTCAACTCGTACCTCGGGTATATAAACGTTTGTTTGCTTATAGATTTTTGAATTTTAAAGATTACGAGGTTTCATGCGTGTAAATACAATTAAAATACGATATGCTTGAAATTGTCGAGCACAATTAATTAAAAATAATGCGTATGAAATTATTGACACCCAAAGAGTCCATAATAAACACTTACGTACTAGAATAAAATGAATATTTTTTTCTGAAATTTTTTGTGAAGCATTTTGTTCAAATGCATACCTAATATTAGAGGAGTGCAATTTTTCATAATTAACATACTTTTGTTTTTTACATTGACGTACTTTTTTGTATTATTATTTAAATTTTATGACGCTTTTGTTTCCGCGTCTAGTACGACGTATGTATGTTATTGATATATAAAAGCAAATTCGAGCGAAATGCCGAATTCGGTTTGAGTTTTAGACTTACTATAAAAATCCGATAGACTTGTTTCCTGCACGACAATGGAAACTGCTTTAATTGTTTCGCACTTCAATTCCGAGTTGTCGGTACCCACGCTCTGGGTAAGTGCAGAATTGCTTGCAGTCTACCGAATCGTATATAGCGACTCTATTACTATGTGAAGGATGCTAGACGAAGATTTTGTGGTGTGTGGAGAAGGGGCACAGTTGCAGGTCGTGCACGACGACGGGAAAGGGACGGCGGCACACGCCCGCGCTCGCTTCAGGACAGCTGGACATCTCTGCAGATGCGCGCCGACGGCGGATCTGCCGGCTTCTGGCAACAAACACTGACTATCTTTACTCTATCTTCACCAATAAAAAGGGAGATCATAATATCAAGTGACGGGACGAAAAAGTCGCGTACGTGGTGGTAAGCTACCAAAACAGTTGCAGTGCTCGGAGCTTTAAATCGCAAAGATCTGAAGGGCACTGCCACTGCCCCGTCACCCGGAGACGTAAGTTGATAAGTCCCACCCTTCGAAAACCGGAACGCAGTAATGCTTGGCGGCAAAAATAGGTAAGGCGGCAGTACTTCTCCGGACGAACTCTTTCACAAGGAGGTCTACTGCTACTAGCAATCCCGCCGCGGCCAGAAAAACCTTTCCGTAAATATTCGGTAATACATAAACAAAATATTTAAAAACAAGTAAAAAAATAAAGAACGCCGATTTAGCCGGAGCCCGAGATCGGTGTTGGTACGCACCGAACCGACGGAGATCTGCGCGGGCGGTCGGTCGAGTGACGAGCCGATCTATAACCCGCGCCGCCGCCGGTTGGATCTGCAAGCGGCATTGCGAGGAGAGCGGGCCTACGCGTACTCGGGGCGGAGGGCGGAGGGCGGGGCCTCACCGGTGGCGGGCGTCGCAGGAGCAGCCGACGGCGGCGGCGGCCGCGGCCTGGCGGCGGGCGTGGCGCGCGCACGTGGCCACGGCGTCGGCGCCGTCCGGCGCGCGCGGCGGGATCACGCCCGGCGGGTACGCCGCGGGCGCGCTGCCGCGGCGGCTCGAGCGCACGATCGACGCGTACGTCGGCGCCGCTACGCGCTCGACCTGTCCGGTGAAACGCGACGCTGTCTTATTCCTTTTGTTGCAAACCGCCCTCAATAGCTCGCGGAGTTACGTCTACTCGCCGAGATTTATTCAAATCGGTTGCCGGAAAGCAGTTTGCCACCCTTTGAGGACCATACTCGCTCCAACAAGAAAAGATTCATCAAAATCGAATTGAGAACCTCCTCCTTGTTTTGAAGTCGGTTAAAAAAGAAAACACACAAAACGTACTGCTTCTTCTTAGGTAGCTGCAGCCTAAATGTAATAAAAAAAAAACAAATTTTAAAGTACAGTTAGAGTTAGCCAGTTGGTGCAATCGTAACTAAGGTAGTCTGGGCAAATTTTTCCTATACTCTAAGATTTTAAATAATTTAACTATGTTCCGTATTATCTTTATTTATCTCTGAATCAGACAACTTGTAATAATTTGTAATAGTTGTACAACTTGCAATAATTGTGCTTTTGTAATAATTTATACTTTTTAATATCATTTAAAAAACCCTCACTTTGGACTTTATTGAACATCGTATGTCAGGAAAGGCCCATATAGTAAATCTGTCATTTGTCACAATTATATGCCTCATCAAAAACAAAGATATTCAATTTACTAAACTCTACATATAACTCAATCCCTCAAAACTAACAGGAACTATGACAATTAGTATTTAACACAATGTTCTCGAACCCTCGAGCAAAACAAAACAATCTTCAAATTGGTTTCCTTCATCCAAAATGACAATTTTTTAAAACTTTTAAGTGAAATAGTAAGACCAATCAACCATTCTGTCTTTCAGACAAAATTGTACCATATTGGAAATACTTTGGGCCGTATTACACGGCTGCGGGTAATAAGGAACGCATAATAAATTAGCACGTATAAAAATATACCTCAAACTTAACAAGCAATTTTTACAGTTATTATTATTTAAAAAACTAAGACATTGAATTAAATCTTATATTTTACAATAATCGTCTGTAAAGAAAACCGTTAATTTAACCCCCCTTAAATAGGATTTAACATAATTTTATATGCACTACAATAATTTGAACATACGTAAATAAACCATTATTTCATTTGTTTACCCATTGTTTTCAAAAATTTTCATTTTAACTTTATGTAATGAGGCGCATAACGACCAGTAAAGCCCAAGGTTTTTTTTTTTGTTGGGCCTTATTAAATGACACGGGCCTTATAATACGATTCGACGTTTGTGGCAAATAAAACAAAACCAAAGTGCAAAATTATGTCTGAATATTAAAAATGTTTTGTTAGTATTTACAACAGTATGTAAGGAGAAGTCAAGTTTAAACTTATGTTTTGTTTGAAAATAACTGGCGAGCGTCAACTACCGATCGCGACGAAGAGCGCGGCTGGGCCTTGATTTTGATTGCCTCTCCCGATCGGAAACTGCGTCTTTTCCTAGTTGAGGCGTATAATATTGCGGATGGGCCACCCGATCGGATCGATTCTGTTTTGAATTAAAATCAGGGCTCTGGTCCCACAATATGGCGGCGGCGTAGTTGAGTCGTAGCCGCGTTATTGCGTTCCTATTGGTCAGTTCTAAACGTGCGCACAGTATCGTGCCGTTGAAATGAATTGAAATATACTTTTAGGATCCCGGGCCTTATCATACACAGGGCCTTATTTGCCCAGAGTACCTTATATTGAACACCGGTGAGCGGCATTGACTTCCGTGGTCGCGTTAAAGACGCGCAACTAAAACTAACAAGTGAAAAGTTCAACTCGAGAGCAGGCAACGGCGGAGATGGCAAAAATTGCTGTAAAACTTGTATTACTTGGACCTCGTCTTCGGAAGGATCATTGGAGGCGAGCAAAGCAGCACACCTCACCTCGAAGCCGTTTTGCTTGCGCCGGCGGCGGCGCGGCGTGGTGGCGGCCGTGTCGGCGCGCTTGCGCCGCGCCTGCTGGGCCGCCGGCGTCGCCGCTCCAAACAGTCCGCGGTCCTCCGCCACGCGGATCATGAACTTCGCGTCCAGGCATGTTATCTCCTGTTCACGACACCACTTCACAGTTGTTATCCGACCTCGACTACTAAATCATAGCCATATTTCGAGAATGCTAGACCCACTATGTGCCAATATCTACCTTTCGCTGGATGAGGCCAAGGTAACATCCATCTCTATCCAAAATATAGTTGATGTCTAATCCATTGCCTAGATTTGGTAGCGTTCCGATCTCGAACAGGTCGCAGTTTGGTACCTGTTGTTAAAATTTTTAGATACATTTGAAAACTCATCGTTAGTAACTGCATTGAAGGCTTAAACTTAACCGAGGCCGGTTGCTAACTGTGCGGCAGGAGTGACGTTTACGTAAGAGTTACGTCGCGCTACACAAGGGATAATTTCAACAACATTTTTCTAGCGATATTCAATAACAAGATTTTTTTTGGTAAATTTATTGTTTTTTAAAAAGTCGTGGAACAAAAATTAATGTATAAGATGTTAGTAATATTATCCAGCTTAAAAAATAACACTGTAATGAATACTATTCAATATGTACCTTTACGTTAGCACTGTCCGAATCCGGATCATGGGGCATTGGTGATTCAGGAACAGCTTGTTCCGGGATTGGTCTCGTTTTGTTCATAATTAAGAGCTCTCGCTGTATTGGCCCGGCTTGTTTATTAAGTACTGTGTCCGTATTGTCGTTCTTTGGCGCGTGATCAGGAGAGCTAACGATCGCGTTGGGCACTCCTGTTTTAGGTGGTTTAGACAATCTCCCATCGGCAATGACGAGAACATCATCAAGTGCGTCCTTGGACATGTCAGAGCGCGAGATAGTGTTGTTAATAGACGTGTCGGATGGCAGTTCCACAACTGTTTTTGGTGTCTGAAACATCAAACGTTTGGAATGATAAAAAAATCACCACGCATTACCAAATTCGGGCACGTGATCTTACGTGTGGGTCTTTATTTTCCTTGAATTTCTTCTTAAGGAGGGCGTGCCGCTCTCGCGCTAGTCTATTCGCTTCAGCCACAGCACGCGTCACTTGTGCCTGATTTTCAGCCTCTAAAGCTGAATGGGTTTCATACAGAATTAACTGGATCTGAGAAAAAACCAACAAAAAAACAAATATATATAATTTCTGCAATATATTTTATTTCTGCCTCTGTGGCCGAACGCTTGCCATGCCGGACTGCCACGCAGAGTTCCCAGGAGTGATTCCCGGACAAGTATTTGTATGGCCTACATTTATTTCTCTCGTGGGTTGGGGTGTAATTTGTGATTGTATATATGTGTATGTCCATGGCACCCGCGACACTGGGTTTCCCTAGAGCGGGGCTATGTCGAGTGTGTGCGTTATTATTATTAATATATCGATGGCGGACAATAAAAAAATAAATAATACTCGTTTACCTGAGGTTTCGATAGCAGAGTCTTCAAGGTTTTCTTTTGCTCCTCCAAAATAGACTGCACTCTCGCTTTTCCGTTAACATCTATCTCGGCTTCCGTGAGAATCTACAAAATGAACAATTAATAAAATGTTTTAAGTTACATTGCATTTTTAAACGCGTTTTTAACTGGTTCGTGTTACGGGCTAGTACGGCACCGCGAGACAGAATTCGAAAGTGTTCTTCGTTTCGAAATTTATGAGGTTAACGATTTAGGGTAATTTTCCGAAACACTCCATCGCCATAAAAACACAACAACATAGTGACTAAAAACCAGCGCTGCAACTGTCATCAACAGGCGCAGCATCAGCTGAGACATCTCCTTTTGCCTCCTGTTTATTACGTCATTTAATATAAGTTTATTTGTCTTTTAAGTTTTATTTACTATCGTTTTTTTTTGTACAAGTTCTGTTTATATTGGAGGCAATAAAGAGATTTTATTATTATTATTATTAAATAACATGTTCACCTCAAGCATAGCTAAGTCACCTCCTCTGCCACAAACCAGGTCGATTGGGTCCGTGACGGCGGAATAGGAGTTGGGTGGAGTAGCCAACACCGCCACAACACCGTTGAGAGCATCAATTACGTTAGGAGTGTCACAATGCACTGGATCGCTTAACACGCAAACGGAGGCTCCAGATTGAAGCGCTTCGGAGGCCTCCACCCCCAAATCTCGAAGGGCGCAAACATAGCTTGATACTCTAAAATTTATGTTTTGATTATAATCTTTGTTGGTAGGTCGATGATTAGAATGTGAATTGCCAACGGTAGAAAATGTTAGTAGCAGTAGAGCTCCATAATAAAGAATTCGTCCAGGGAAGTACTGTCACTTTACCTATTTCTGCCGCCAAGCAATAAGCAATACTGCGTTCGGTTTTTGAAGAGTGAGAGTGCTGGAGAGATTACAGGCACATGAGACTTGTCAACTTATGCTCTGAGTGGCGCTGCAACTGTTATGGACAGGCGTGTAGTTTACCATCAGACGCACGACTTGTTCCTCCTGTCACTTGACATTATATAAAAAAATATGCAATCACTGTACTGGAATAACCAAGGTTTAATAAGTTCCTAGGTGAATAATTTGAGCATTACAGAAGCTACATTATGAAACATTTTCGATAGTGTTTTTCGGTATTATACTGTTTAAGATCGATGAAATGAATAATAATTAATTTTGTGACCTAATAAGTAACAGGTATTTGAGACGGCTTACTTATCACCAGCCCCAAACACCACCAATTTCCCCAATTCTGGTGTCGCCGGAGCTGAAGGTCCCTTAGCTTTAAGAACAGCAGCCAATTCCCGCAGTTGGGCCGCGAGATAAGCCGAACTGCGCGGGGATGACGCATGCGTCTGAGCAACTGCGCCGCAGAGTGAGTTTGCTCGAAGTGCCCGGCAAAGTGTAGATGCGCCTTCGCAGAATTCACGCTCCTGTAAATCGAAACATTACTTCAAACTTTCCGATAGAGAAAAAATTCCTTCGATGCGGCTGGATTCGAACCAACGTCTTCCAACAAACCGTGTTAGACGCTATGCCAACTAAGCTACGGAACGAACCAGCGGACCTTACAAATTTTTCTATGTGCTTGTTGCAGATTTTAGTCTTTTGTTTTCTTCACTCGGCCAGGTTGACCTTTACAGCTACCAGCAGCTGATGTCGATTTTTTTTGTATATATTGTTTGCAAGTAACACTGCCTCTACACTAACCTGAAGAACAATGATTCCGTCTTTTACGAGATCCAATTGGCAGATACTGACGTCCTGCGGAGGTCTCAGAGTAATAAATCTAAAAGTCAACAGATAATAAGTGGGTAAATAATTTAAATAATTCACACGAAATTCAAAAAAGAAAGAAAAGGATTCTGGATGCTATATCTGTGTTTCCCGAAAAGTATAATTTAGGGTTACTCAATGTTAAATAGGCATTTTTTTATAATCAAACATAATAACCCGGCCGTTCTCACGATTCGGTGTTCTCAGCCTAATTACCGTAGCCAGTTTTTTTTTCTTACATATTATATATACCCAATGACAAAATATGAATAACTTTAAACTAAACCATTAATATGTCTAAATGGCATTAGAATAGACAAGTAGTTTTCGAGTTAATAAGACACAAATATTTTATGGAAACGGTAATTAGAAATTGTTTTTTACATGCCTGCGGTAACTAGAGAGTTCGAATATTTTTAAGGAAACACCTAACAACAAATAAATAAGTTTTATTTCTTGAATTGCACTTGTATCGGCAGAAATAAACCAAATTTAGCAAAATATAAATATTCAGCTGTATCAATAAAAATCCACTAAGACTTTATACTACTTCTTGCCTGAATTCTAATTTTTCCTGTACTAAGACGATTCATTTTGCTTGCGAACGGCAGGACACTGCCTTTATTTGTAGAATTCCTTTTTTTTTTTACAAACGTATACGAGTAGTATAAATAAATAAATAACGCACACACTCAACATAGCCCCGCACTAGGGAAACCCTGTGTCGCGGGTGCCATGGACACACACATAGACAACCACAAATTACACCCAAACTCACGAGAGATATAATTGTAGGCCATACAACTATTTCTCTCGGCCCGGGAATCGAACCTGGGACCTCTGCGTGGCAGTCCGGCATGGTAACCGTTCGGCCACGGAGGCAGTTAAGTTTATACGTGTTCTATTTAGTTCAGTTGAAATAAAAAAAATCATTGGTATATGTAACGTACCTATTGAGTACAGCGGTTTTCTTGTAAAATTTCGAGGTTAAGTTTGTGTTTTTTTCCTATCGTGAAAAAAAATCTATTTTTCACACCGTATAATATTTTTTTCAAAGTTTTTTGAACACTTTCACGTAATGCGGAATCAACCAAAGCCATTTGAGGCTGTTAAATTCTAAACAGATATGGACGTGGTGTCTATAAATCCAGGCAATCCAAAGTCCAAGGGATTCCTACTAGTAGAGTTCCTGGAAGAAGTAGATGGCTAGCAAAGTTCGTCCATATGAATATTTTTGTGGTTTTTTGACAGCACGCTGGAACCTCGGTCAATTTACTATATCTCGCGAATAAGTATTCTTTTATTCAAGGGTTGAATTTACCTCGGGCATACTCGATCAAATCGATATTCTCCGGCGCACAGTTGACGTGAATTGCTGTAAGAATATCCCAACTCATGCAGCCGCTTTACTAGTGATGCCACTTTTCTGGAAATCATTATTGTTAAATTATAGCCTTACTTTAAATATATCTATATTTATGTCCCGCTTTTTCCAGAATAATACCGCTAGTAAATTTATTTATATGTATATAGAGTATCTCTGCTGCTGCCCATCAAGTTTGGCCCTAAGTTTCATGCTGCTCTTCATCAGATGGGTTTCCGATCGACTAATATAGGTATTGTCCTACTCCAGATTTTGACCTTGTGGGTTCCGGTACGCGGTCGCCACTCAAGAACTCTTTGGGCCCATCATCGGCTACCTGTTTAGTGAACAATGTGCCCCTTTTTGAGCATAATTTCTGGAACAATAAGCCTTGCTATATTATTTTGTTTTTACTTACTTAGCTTTAAAGGTATTCACCCATCCGGTAACTGTCTCTTTATTCACGCAAGCATTTATTCGGTCTTCTCGCAAGTGAGGCGGCAGAAGGTCTGATAACCTGGAAATGGACCCTGTCAGAATTTTGCTGAAGTGTCTGTTGATTTTTTAAAACCGTTTATTAAGAAACAGCTAAGATTATTCTTCCGAGAAATTTGAATCTCATCTACATTTTTTTGCTTAAGTGTTTTGTTATTATGATCAGTAAGGTTGTAGGTACGGATAAATGCACATCACACTGTACGAAAGTATATTGTTCAAAAATCGTCTCCAGAGCAAGGAACAAGATCCGTCAATGTTGAGCACGACATGCTTTATTTAATTTAAAAATTATTTTGTTGTTTCCCTTGGAAAATATTTACGTAAAAGCCTTGTTCTTGATGCGTATCCTAGCTATGGCAGCTGCGAAGTGCACGCGTTGCTCCCAGATGGCGTTCTCAATGTCCTTGAAGGGGTAGCCTGCGATATGGAGCAGATGTTCGGCCCGGTCCACCTCGTTCCTCGGCCGCGCGCCCCACTTCCGCCGTGCTAATTCCATTAGAAACAACCATGCGGTGTTGCGGAACCTGTGATACTGTCGGAAATCACACTGAGAACATGCCTACGTAAGATCAGAGTAAGGGTCAATTGGATGTGCTTCTTATAAAATCAATTCATTGTCGTAATTGCAGTTTTGAATTACAAAGGTACATAGACACATATTCTAATAACCATCGCCGTTATATTCATAAAGTGTACGCATAAATATATCCTAATGGTACTTGTATCTATTTAAACATTAATGTATTTAGTATGTCCATGGACCTCAACTCAAGAGGACTGGTAATCAGAGGTAACTCTCGTCCTATATTCAGATGGCGCTGATCGATAACCTGGAAGTAGTTTATATTAGGTAAATGGCCGTGAATATCAATTAATTTATAAGTAGTCAGTTTTTCCTTGTAATATTATTAAAATATTGATTTTAACCTTAAATTATTTTCTGAAATTGAAAAATATTCGTGTCAGAGTAAACATTGTGTATTAATTACAAACTCATTTATAAATTAACGCTTGCTAGAGTGGGTAGATGGCGCTAGTCCTAAATAAAATAGAAAATAACCGGCAGCCACCTTGGAAATACATGCAATAAGCGCCATCTAGTTGATTTGTTTGTTATCAACAGAAATTAGAACAGCTTTGATAAATTGTACTTCGTCAATTATTTACAAATCGGTTACAAACATAGCAATTTGGTACTCGTCGCGACATTTATCTACCAATAGGTACTAAATACTCGAGTATGCTGTATTGTATCACTATAGTTATTATTGATAGTAACACGTTTCGTTTGCGGAAATGTAATTTATTTGATATAGAATAGTATGTTTTTATAAAAGATAGTAATAGATATGACATGAAGACGAGGCATATTAATAAATTGGCTATTCTCGACTGCGGTGTTCACATATTCACAAATTCATTTAATGGGCAAATGAAAAAATGAAAAAAACACTTACATAACAAGATTCTAGTTGATATTCTAAATTTGTCATTTATCAGGTTTCAAATTAAGATACCGAAGATACGGGTTCTATGCCTGCGTAGTAGTACGGGATAGTAGTGACCCCGTTTAGTTCTATCAGGTAGTGTCGATTTGAAACAAATATTGTAAATGATAAATGTGAGTTACAACATGAAACTTTTTCATACTGATTCTTCTCAGGGGAATTTGCCGAACGATTTAATTAGTGTTTATATGTGACGATTTCAAGTGTTACATTTGAATTTATTTGTGGGAATAATAAAAAATAGAATTGAGCCCAATTAACCGTCATTTTAGTAATTTTTGCTCTAGAAATGCTTAAAAAAAATAAAAATATGTAAGAAACTTTACCTTACATTGCATTTGTACATTTGCGCATTTAAAACAGGGTTATTGTGCCACAACAATACATACTTCAGTAGAATTGCCTCTTGGACGAATTCATCTATATACTTATGTATGCAAATAAGAGATACAGGCTCCTGGTTATCTTGTTTGATAACTCTATTTATCGGGCGCGGAATTCAAAAGGCGTTTAGTGTCATCACCGTAACGCAACAATTTGTGCTTTTAAATTACAGCTCTCTTTTTCAATAAAATCCACTAATGGCAACCCTTTTCATTGAACCAAAATAGCTACCATAAATATGAAGCTCATTTTCGTGAGCGTCTCCTTGGCGTTCGAGAAAGAAATGCCTTCCGTCACGACATCACGGTAATGCGAGTTAGATGGGCCACGCTTTTTTGTTGACAACTTGTCGAACGCGCCTTAACTGGATGTTCTCTAACAAGGTTTAAATATGCGATAACCTTGACGGCGTATTCGTTAACGACGAATAATAACTCTCCATCAAGTTCAAGAACGATTTTTTTTTATAGCCGTAATTAAAACTCGACTAAATATAGATTATGCGCCAATATAGAAAGGTCCACATGTCACGGTTCGTATCGGTTCGGCTTAGAGATTTATACCTACGTGAACTAAGCCCACCCATCGTTGCTGATAAGGTAAGTATATAGGCATATCAACAGATTCTTTAGTCTTTTTTGTCATTGTAATTTCATTAACACTCCACTGAGATGTTGCAATTATGATAATACTCGTTATACTGCTATAATCTAGTTGCAATGGCAGTTGAGTCTCATTACAGTGTCAGTGGAATGGCATTGATGGCATTCATTCAATTACTAACGGTCGATGTTGCCTTACTAACACTACCATGGAAATTACTATACATAATTATCTTTTTTTGTAAATTTATTTGGTTTACCAACAGCTATTACATTGTGACTTATTTCCTAGGTACAATAATTTGTGGTTTTAAGTTTAATGCACAATGGTAAACATCTTATGCAACTCAAAAACGGTAGAGTAACTTAAAACATTTATCTTAACTATGCAATATTATTAGAAACAAATACTAATAACTACCTACGTTTACACAACAAAATGCTATTTTATTTAGTTACAAATTCTGTATATGGGTGAGTTCGTACCAATTTTGGTTCTTCGTAGAGGTGGGCAAAGTGGTTGGATAAAGTACTCGTATCTTGGGTATCTATGAGGCACTCTAAAGGCTTATTAGAAAGGGATAATCAATTTGGTTTCGTAGTAACTTGTAAAGAAAAATAAGATCTAATCAATCCCTATGGTTTTCAAGGCTCATCTGCGATTCAGCTTTCAAATTAAATATGTATTCTATTAGTAGACTGCACTTTTAGAAGCAGTAGAGCTCCTTGTGAAAGAGTTAGTCCAGGGAAGTACTGCCAGCTTGCCTATTTCTGCCGCCAAGCAGTAATGTATTCCGGTTATTACGGTATACAGCATTACGGTATTCCGGTTTTTAAGGGTAAGGGTGCTGGTGAAATTACAGGCACATGGGACTTGTCAACTTAAATCTCAGGGTGACGGGCGCAGTGACAGCCTACCATCAGGCGGATGACTTGTTGTTCCCGTCACTTGATATTATAAAAAAGTTAAAGTTATTTACCTGGTACTACAGCATACAGCAAGGCGCTATCTGCACACGCGCAAATGTGTGCGTCAAGTGATAGGGTTACCATCAGTCAAAGCGGCATCATAGCGAAAATACTAACGCGAATCTGTTATCTATAATTACATATGTACATTAGGTATTCATATCAATAAAAAAATTTATTTTCCATTAATTTACTACTACCAACTAACTACTAACTAAAATAACCTTGAAGGTTTATTTGAATAATCTCAGTATACAGAGTACTAAAAAAACCGACCTCAAAAGTACGTGCAATTACGTCTATTTGCTAAGTTTTATTGAAATATCCCCTAGTTCGCCACTACACGGGACTTGACACTGGAGATAATAAAAATCAGTTCTCACTACTAAAAGTATCTTGAGAGAAAAACGCCTTGAATTGGAGAAATAGCAAAATCAACCATTAAAGTAATTGCTCCTAAATTAAAGTTAGGCGCTATTTATAAAAATGAATCTTCATACGTGAACAGCCACCCTTCGAGGTGGATGATTTTCTTCGAAATGGAACCACTATGGAAGTACCCCCTTTCCAACAAAAAAATAATCATGAAAATCGGTTCATAAATACCGGAGTTATCGCGTAACATACATACAAAAAAAAAGAAAAAAAGAACATACAGTCGAATTGAGAACCTCCTCCTTTTTTGAAGTCGGTTAAAAATAAAATTTTAAAGCACCTAAAATGTTATATTTTAGTCAGGTACTTTTAAATAAGGTAACCAAGGTATTTGAAATTGCGTATCCAACTTTACCATTGCTTAGTTAATAATTATATTCATGAAATATTTACAGGCAATACAAATAAAAAATTCGAGAACCATTGTCTACTTTATTACATCTCATTATATTACTATGCAGTAAATAAATGAAGATAACAATAACTGAATGAGTCTCAGACATGTTTTTTACTTACCTTGTTTCATCTTTCGGAAAATTAAATCAACTTCTCTCTTTGTCCCGTTTAGATTATGATAAACTGCCATGCACAGCACAACCCACGACCATTATAAATAGTAACGTACAATGATGTTATACACACGTTTCGTAATAAATAAATGAAAACTATATTCAAATAATAAAGCCGTCTTAGCGCGAAAACGGCTCGCCAACAACCTTGTCAATGTGACCGTCAATGTGACCGTCAATGTGCGGGGCGTGATGCAGTATCTAAAGCTAGGGAGGGGCGGAGAGTGTCCATTCTCGTTAGGTACTTTTTTATTCTCTTCCGCTATTCTTGTCAGTGGCTAGCGAGCTATGTATTATTCGACTGCCATTGCATTTTTTTGGTATTTCGCTCTGCAATGGAGAGTCGATGGCATGTCGATGATATTGTAGTCTAACAATATTATATATTTAAGTTGAAGAGTAAATTGCTGATTAAACCAGATAAAAATTAAGGTACGTATATTAAATTCCATGGCATGGTTTTGGTAAGGCAAAAATCGATTGTTAGTGATTTGAGACTATATATTAATGTCTTATCATACAGGGTGATAAAAAAAGCCACTGACCATTTTAAAGGAGCATACTGTATAATGGAAATAAAAAATACATGTTCAGGTTTGCACTAGCGTTGGGTCGTAGCCAGAGATGGGCCCGGGTTTTAACCCTGTGCTTTGTTAACGGTTTAAATCGGGTTAAAACCCGTTAATGCCCGAAATCGAGAGCAAAAACTATTTACGACTGAATATTTGTTGTGAATTGAGTTTTTTTTTAATTAATTATACATATTATGACAAGTATTTAATTGCGGGCGATTTTAATTTGAGCAATATAGCGTGGACTCCGGGCTGTATTGATTGTTTTTCGTCAGACACAGTGAATTTTACTACGGATGATGAAAATTTATTGGTCGATGAGTTAAACACTCTTGGACTTAGGCAGTTTAATGGCGTAAAGAATGTTTATTGGAGGATTCTTGACCTTGTCTTGTCAAATGGTGATGTTAAGGTCGTAGACTCTAGTGATGACCCACTCGTACCAGTTGATATGCATCATGGTGCCTTGACTATTGAACCGCAGTTTTCTGACCTTGTTCCCTTGAGTAGTGCCCCGTATGTTAGGAATCTTTTTAACAAGGGTAATTATGATGCGATTAATTCAGAGATTTCTGAAGTGAACTGGCAGTGTGCTTTGAAATCCAATTCACTTGAGGCTGCTGTTGATTATTTTTACACTCTTTTTTTTTCATGGAGGGATAGGCATATACCATGTAAGACGGTCACTGGTAGACGCTATCCCGAATGGTTCTCCCCTGCTCAGAAAAAGGCTCTTAAGGAAAAGTACAAATATTTGAAGAAATTTAGAATTTATGGTAACAGTGCTGATGAGCAAACTTTTAAACTATTGAGAGATCGATGTAGGGCTCTGGAAAAGCAAAATTGTAGTAATTACATAAATTCAGTTGAGAATTCTTTGAAGGACAACCCAAAAGTGTTCTGGTCATTTATTAAATCAAAATCTAATCAATGACATTCCTAGTTGTCTGAATTTTGAAGTATCTACTCTTAATTCCGGAAATTCCATCTGTGATTCGTTTTTAAAATACTTTCACTCAAATTTCTGGTACAGCCCAGCATCTCAAACCACTTCTTGTGCAGGCGTTTCTACTCCGACCGTTGCTGATATTTCTAGTATAAAAGTGGATGTTGGTATTATATCTAGACTTCTCTCACAACTTGACCCCGCGTAGTCAACCGGTCCTGATCTACTTCCAGCTCAATTCCTCATCCGCTGCTCTGAGACTCTAGCTGTTCCAATTTCCATTTTATTTAATAGATCTTTGGTAGAAGGCACGGTACCAAAGGTGTGGAAGCGTGCTTACATTACACCTGTTCATAAAAAAGGCTCCAGAACGGACATTATTAACTATAGACCAATTTCAAAGTTGTGCATTATTTGTAAGGTTCTTGAAAGGGGAGTTTACGACCAACTTTATTCAGCGCTCAAGCAATCATTTAGTTTCGCTCAACATGGTTTTTTGAAGGGGCGTTCCGTTGTGAGTAATCTGGTATTGTTCAACGATTCTTTGAATGCGCATATGGATAATGGCCGCCAAGTTAATGTCGTATACACGGATTATAGCAAAGCATTTGACCGGATTCGTCATGATTTGCTTGTTTGCAAATTACGGGAGATCGGAATCAATCGTACATCGTACAAAAACATCATACATCAACATACATACAAAAACATCGTACATCAACAATAGGTCACAGGCTGTTGTTGTTAAAAATTATGTTTCTGGGTGGCTTGTGGTGCCTAGTGGAATTCCTCAGGGATCTTTGCTCGCGCCTCTCCTGTTCGTGGTTGTTGTAAACGACATCGAGTTATGTTTTAAATCATCACAACTCTTGTGCTTTGCGGATGATATGAAAATTATAGCGCCTATTTCTTCAGTGTCTGACGCAATCCTGCTTCAAGAAGACCTAATGAGGCTCGACACTTACTGCGCCGATAACCATCTTGACCTTAATCCATTTAAGTGCAGCGTCGTCACTTTTAGCCGCAAAAGTAACTTAGTGCATTTTAATTATTCTTTGAGAGGTACTGAATTGCAACGTGATACTCGTAGGTACTATGGTAAGGGATCTGGGTGTGCTTCATGATAATAAGTTATTATTTGCTTCGCATGTCGACACTATTATTTCAAAAGCCTCCAAAGCTCTCGGGTTTGTGATGCGTAACTCCAGGGATTTCAGGCAGGCTAAAACACTAAAAATGTTATATTGTTCATTTGTCCGCAGCCACCTGGAATATGCATCGCAAGTCTGGAATCCCCAATACCTTACCTATATATCAACAATTGAAAATGTACAAAAAAGATTTATTAAGTTTTTATGTTTTCGAACTGGGGAGCGATACGAGTCAAATCAGTATCTGAATATATGCAAGAAACATCATCTTTTGCCACTGGAGATGCGGCGTCAGATTGCTGATCTAGTGTTTTTGAAAAAAATTGCTTTTGGTGCCGTTGACTCCCCGGAAATCGTATCCAAGATTTCTCTTGGAGCCCCTGCAAAGACCCTTAGGTTTAATTCACCTCTGTGCGTACCTCTGGCCTCTTAAATCTTTGAGCGGAATGCATATCTCATGTGTGCGAGTAATAAGTTTCAATGCATTGTCGAAGCAGGTTGATATTGACCTTTTTAACACTAGTGTTGTATCGGTGAAGCGTCTTATTAGTGGTTTGTTTTTTGGCGAGTAGCTAATTGTTGTGTGTGCGATTATGTCATTACCTATATAGTATAATTATTAGTTATATAGTTATAATTTATAGCTCTTTAATTAACTTAATGTGTGTCTACCGGTGAGGACCTATAATTGGCTCTCCGTTTTTATTTAAGTTTATGTTATGTAAGATAGCCGTTGGTCTTCCTAAAATTAAATAATAATAATAATATTATTACAAAATGTTAAATTCGTAAATAGTCCCAAAATTTTTTCAGTTCATTTATAAACGTTTGACATAATCCTAATGGAGTTCTTTTTAATAACATTGGATGTACTAAAAACTTTCTTATTCTCGTTTGCTTCCTCTTCAAAAGTAATACATTATATAATGTTATCGTCATCCATTTCACACGGGACCGACAACACACTATTGGCTTCCAAAAGAACATAGAAGCAACTGCAGTGCATCAAACGACTCTGTCATGCAAACGACATGGCGGCTGCCGTGAACCGATTAATTGTCATCACGATCTCGTGGGAACAGCTAGACACGACAGTCGTTCAACGACAAAATAAACGTCGACACAGTCACGACATACAGTCGTGATATCAAAACAGGCTGGCGCGACAGTCGTCAAACGATAAATAAAACTTCACGACATAGTGAGAACGCGCCGTTACTCTTGAAAACCGAAACAGTAATGCTGACATTACTGCTTGGCGGCAGAAGTAGGTAAGGTGGCAGTACTTCCCTGGACAAACTCTTTCAGAAGGAGTTCTACTGCTACTAAACTAACTAACGGTGAACGAAGTTAAGCTAAAAAGTTAGCTTAACTTCGTTCACCGTCTAATTTGAGCTTGATGGTTTTAGAAATATCATTACCAATGTTAACTCGGTAAATAGATACGTTCTTACCTGCGGGTAGTTCTCAAAAAACTCGATCATATCCATCGCTTGATCCAAGATAGTTTTGTCTGGAAGCATAAAACAAAAATAAATGACAAATTTATGTCCATCATAATTACTGATACAAAAAAATAAAACGGCATTGGATCGTTGAAATCGGTTACAAAAATCGCGTGCCGTAGGTTCTGTTCAAATAAATAGTTGTTTGAAGAGGCGAATAAAAAACAAGAACATGAATTATGGCCCGTCTACACGGTCGAGCTGAGCCGCGAGAATACTTGCGCAAGCTAAACACCGTGTATATTCTCTTTTACACAACTCAAATGTATACAAATACGAATTCGTATTTGAATATCGGATGTTAAAGCTCGACCGTGTATTTTGGCCTTTAGGGATAGTTTTCGTGGCAGTTTATTTTGACAATGAACGCGGTGTTATATCGCATGTCACGAAACCGTATAAGATGATAAGGCTATTTGCATGTTATACGGGCGTACATATGCGCATTTGTTAAGGGCAATTCTTTACATGTGGAGAAATATACGTAAATGTATGACCTTCGACGTTGCATCGTCAGTCAATGGACCGGTAAAAGCAGTATATTATCGAGTTATCTGGGACAAACACGCGCGACCTAATTAATTTTTCTGTAGTTTGAATTAGACGTAAGAAAGTGACAGTAAATGTCATTTTGAGTAGTATCTGCTAAAATTTTTCGAGACTAATTCTGGTCAAACTGTCAGATTTTAATATTTTAATTTTTCTTGAATAGTTTAATTTTCTAATATCTTTACGGTGGCCATTTCGAAACTCCTCTAATGTCATTTTAAAAAATGATTTCGGCATATTTATTGTACAGTGATGTGTTTGATTCAGTTCTCAATAAACTTATTGAAACTGAATTAACCAAAAAGAAACTTTAAGGATTTTGACTATTAATCTGCTAAACAATTTTTCATTTACATTTGTAGTCTCTACATACTCTTATCATTTAATTTTATTTGGAATAACAACACTTTTAGGATAGGCCAATCATAGTTATCCAGTAAAATAATAATTGACAGTGGGTGTATTGTGTTCATTAAAAAGTGCTAACAATAAAAACAAAAATAAATAATCGTATGTCTGTTAAAAAAAACAACAAGAGAAAGTGAACAACAGGACATAAAAATTTCTCGTCCTGATTAGATTGGTTTGTTTGCGTATTATAGCTCGTAACCGGTAAATAAATAGTTAGATTTTAATTGGATTAATGAAGTTTGTTTCGTTACAACAACCTTTTGGACAAAATTAAGTTCCGACAATAAGACTGAAGGAGACTACAAAACACCACTACGCTGAGGCTACGTCCTTTTTATCAACATTTAGAAATATCAATCAGAGTAGCTCATAGTTTGTTATGTGACGTACATATGTATTTTCTCTAAATATGTATGTATGATGAATAAAGCCCTATTTAATTTAAAATGAAATAAATAAATACATGAACAAACAAACAATTTTACTTACAAATATTATTTTTAAAATTATACAATTTACCTTTATGACCTACTGAGTGAGTCAGTGACATCGAACCTTCCGGACAACACTAATTTATCAAAACTAACAATAAAAGAAAATACGATTTAAATTAAATGTCGATAGTTTACAAATGACAGCCAAAGTACAGTTAATGAGTATCATGATCGTGCAATAGGCTGGCACCAGATAAAACTTAAATAACACTTGTAAACTAGTTTCCGAGAGCTGCTTTCAAGCTTGGCTTTAACCGTTTAACTTGATGCCTGGCTGAAACATAGCGTGAGGTAATTTACAGCTGACAACGCGTGTTCACTAAAGATGCTATCGAGGTATTTCTGGCGCTAAAGTTGAAATAGGAAGGTTTATTATCATCGCCTTCTAATATGCGAACTTTGAATAAACGATATTTAGAGTAATAACCCAGTGGGTTAACGGTTGTTTCTCAATTAGCATTTCGGCGGTTCATATCTTACGACTTTCCATTTCCAAGTTATGTGCTTTTGCAATATTTGTTTTTATAGAATATTATGATATTTCGATCGATAGTTCGATCTTTGTATTAATAATTATAACAAACTAGTGGAGTAATTTCACAAAAATAATTGAATATTAATTCAATAAAAATTTAATTAATACAATGAATAGCGACATCTCTCGCCAGGACTGGTAGCTGTAAAGGTACTAACTGGGTGATAAATCTGCAATAGATTTCTCATAGATGGCGCTACGACTAAAAAGTCGTTGAAAGACCAAGTACAAAGACACGACGCAAGCACACAGAAAAATTCGTGAGGTCCGTTGGTTCGTTCCGTGGCTTAGTTGGTATAGTGTCTGGCACGGTATGCAAGAAGACGTCGGTTCGAATCCGACCGGATCGAAGGAATTTTTTCTGAGTGTTTTCTCTGAGTGTTTGATCTTTGTATTAATAATTATAACAAACTAGTGGAGTAATTTCACAAAAATAATTGAATATCAATTCAATAAAAATTTAATTAATGTTTATATATCACTATAACTATATGACTAGATGAGCACCATGAACCATGGTGTTCATCTAGTTTTTGTGAACACACTTCTCTACTTTGTAATCATTATTGATATAAATCCAACAAACAAAAAGAAAAACTCCTTCGATCGTACTGGACTTTGCTTATATACTATTTATTGCCTATAAAAAAAAAAAAAAAAAAAAATCCTTCATTGCAGACAATTTACAGTCCATTTTGTTAGTACACTTACACATTTGTCTTATTCTACTGTTAGTACAAAAAATATAGATAAAAAAAACATAAAAGGATGGCTAAGATCACCGAGGACGTGAAGTTCGGTGAACCTAGCAAACAGATCAGAATCCAACCCATTCCCTATTTTTGAAAACTCCGTTTGAACTCTCCCGCACTCTGCGCATTAAAATAAAATAAATTGTAAACCATAATGTAGCGTACATTGAGACGTTTTTTTTTGTAAAATTAAAAATAAGGTATTTAATTAATAATTATTGTAGCTGCAGTGGTAATAATAGAGTGGTTTGCATTAATATACATAACTGGCTGATGACTATACCACCTCAGTCAACTGTGACCATGATGGTTTGTTTGAGAAAACAAATAAACAAATACGCCATTTAAATCCGGAAAATAGTTTCATTTCCTATATGTAACAATCGCAAAAACCTTAAGAACTCGACATCGAGTATATAACCAGAAATAGAGACAAAATGTTATTTAATTTGTTTGAAAACTATTCTGCCATGCCATTACTGTGACAACTGCGCTCCGATAGGCTAGCCCGAGTTCGAAACAATTGACGGGTGTCGTCAACTGTTTCACTTCAAATCGACCAGTTAACTTGAGCTTTGCTATAATGGACGAAAATTGCATAATTCCATATTTAATATTTAATTACCAATGAAATGTGATTCTGTTTGTTTTGTAATTAGATGTTTTACTGTTTTTCCCTCACCACCGAATAGAATTGTTAGAATTGCACGGCATTGTTAGAGATATTATCTTTATTACAATAAATACAGTATATTTTTTGGAATATACGGAGACGTACACGCAGGTCAGTAGTTGGCCTGTCTATATTTCAGTGCAAACGGGAGTTGATATTTATAAGAGCTGTATCGCTAATGTGTTACCAGGAATATATGGCCTTTATTTCGTCTCTATTTCTGGTTATATATACTCGATGGAACGCGATAATCACATTTAAATTTAAATATAAACCTAAAACTTAAAAAGACTATAAAATGTATACAAACTGCTGCGATTCGCTACACAAGGAATTTTCCTAACGCTCGCTGATTCGATCTAGTGGAAAATTTTCTCAACAAAATATATGAATAAATGGTAGTATAAAAATAAAATACTCAATAATGAATGATTAATCATGCTTCGTATACTGAATAGAAGCAAATGTTATTTTAATAATTACTATCTCGTAGCGTAAAACCTATTCAATGCAAATACTCATTCGGTTTTAGGGTCCACTGAAAATCAGCGTCACAGCCTTGTCCCGGCGGTGACATTAGCTGAGTGGATCCTATCACATACGCCATAGCCGCACACATAACATCTACTTCGTACAGCAATAGTGTTGACCAGCTTTATGGTCGAATAATTATTTATTGCCAAGATTTTATTTTTAATTAATTTTATTTAGTTTTCTTTTTTGTTATTCATTTTCTGTTTGTTTTAATTTAGTTTGTTTTAAGTCTAATTTAGTTCTGTTTTATTTTAATTTTTTTTTTACTTTTAATTTTTTACTGTTTATTATTGTGTTGTGGTGTTTTGTAATAAATGTATTCTATTCTAAATGTATTCTATTCAAATAGCCTTCATTTCATTTTATATATTTAAGTTTTACACAAAAAAAAATACCCAATGTAATTCCGTTTTATGGAGCCTCGTTGGCAATATTTTTTAACAAATCGGTATTTCAATGCGATGTTATAAACATTGTCAGTAAGCAAATTAAGAATATAAATCCTGAACAAATGCAAAACTGAGTTTTGGTTCGTGACTCTTTAGAGAAGCTTGGGTTCGTGCCGCTGCCTACTATCTGGAGAAGTTTGTTTTTTCCAACACTCATATTTATTCGTAATTTTATGTTTTTACTGCTAACGGCCTTTGATTTATAGAGTTTTAGTACACGCACATAAAATATAACAGCAGTTAAACTTCTACAAGTTTTATCTACTTTTGAACCATGAATCGCGCTTCTATAACATTTTAGTAAATGTAATAAAGTAGCAAGACGAAAATTTATGGTTCAAATCGATTTATGAATAATGTGCATAATACATAGGGCGCACTATAAGTTTCCGGAACTGGCTGAAAATGGAACTCTTTGGCTGTAGAATACAGTTTGTTTCATCTGACTGTCACTTGTTTTTACATTGTGGCGTCATTTTAGAAATTGGTAGTCTACATCACCAGGGACATAACTCGTGAAAATTTTCGTAGTATGATTTTCTACGACTTTCAAGTGTAATTGAACAGCTCAGCGGAGATTCGCTCGGCTTCAAACTGCTGTTGGT